AGTGGAGATAAATTACTTATGCTCATATTAATGAAATTGCTGTATAATACAGCAATAGAGGACTTTTAATGATAGTCTCGTATGTGTCAACCAGGAATGTAACAATGTAATTACAGTGAACAGAATAAGTAACAGTGAATTACTTATGGATGAAAGGTGTAAAATTAAATTCCTCATTGAGACCCTCTGGAGTTAATGTTTTGGACTGGTAGATTTATCTTGATTCCTTCATTAGGAGAATTTTATTAAAGTTGCCTTCCTAGAGTTCATAGTGAGTCTTTCTAGTGCCTGAAAGGTCAGGTGTAGACATGTGCAATTCTTTTCAGTCCGAATTAAAATTCAGGCGAATTTCGGCAATTCGGACATTCGGAAGTGCCGAACCAAATCGAATTGCCTTATTAGCAAATTGCCAAAGTCCTGAATTGCTTAAGTGCCGAATTTCGGAAGTGCCGAACTGAACCAAATTGCTGAAGTGCCGAAGTGCCGAAGTGCTTTGGATTTCTGAAAAGTGGCAAAACAGGAGAGGGAGGGAAAATTAAGGGAATGATGACAGGAATCTAACCCTAGCCCTAACCCTTACCTAACCCTACCCCTAATCCTTCCCCTAACCCTACCCCAACCCTAGTAGGGTTAGTAGTTGTGTTATGGTTGGGGTAAGGGTTAGTTTAGGGGTAGGGTAAGTTTAGGGGTTGGTGTTTGGGGTAGGGTTAGGGTTGTGGTTAGGAGTTCATTTAGGGGTAGGGTTAGGGATAGGGGTAGTTTAGGGTTAGGGTTAGGGAATTGCCGAAGTGCCAAATTCCAAAAGTGCAAAGTGCCGAATTCCCAAATTGCCGAAGTCCCGAATTTCGTAAGTGCTGAATTGACAAATTGACGAATTTCCGAAGTGCTGAATTACGAAAGTGCCGAACCAAATCGAATTGCCTTATTGGCAAATTGCCAAAGTCATGAATTGCCGAAGTGCCAAATTTCGGAAGTGCCGAACTGAATCAAATTGCCGAAGTGCTTCGGATTTCTGAATAGTGGCAAAACAGGAGAGGGAGGGAAAATTAAGGAAATGATAAAAGGAATCTAACCCTAACCCTTACCTAACCCTACCTCTAACCCTTCCCCTAACCCCAACCCTAACTCGAAGTGCTGAATTTCGGAAGTGCCGAAGTGCTTTGGATTTCTGAAAAGTGGCAAAACAGGAGAGGGAGGGAGAATTAAGGGAATGATGACAGGAATCTAACCTTTACCTAACCTAACCCTAACCCTTCCCCTAACCCCAGCCCCAACCCTAACCCTACCTCTAACCCTACCCCAACCCTAACCCTAGTAAGGTTAGGGGTAGGCTTATGGTTGGGGTAAGGGTTAGTTTAGGGCAGGCCCGGACTGGCCATCGGGCACACCAGGCAAATGTTCGGTGGCCGCGGTGGCCAGTGGCCGAGGCCGGCAGGGAGATCACAGGATCTCCCCTGCCGGTCTTTGCAGGGTCGGCACTATCCAAGCGCCGGCCCTGTAGGGATCTCCCTGACCGTCCCACATACAGTATATTGTGGCCGCCGGCGAGCGGAGAGGGAGGGAGATAGCATGTCAGCAGAGGAACCTGGAGGAGCTCTAACTTACAGCTCCGCCGGGTTCCTCTCGCGAGATTCGGAGTATTGCCATGGCAACGCTCCGGGTCTTGCGAGAGTGAACTCTAGCCCCACAGGAAAGGTCACATAAAATACATAAATGTGCTCTTGGACTTATAAGGAAGACCACTTCAAGGTTTTTTATCTTGGCATTTATATTTATTGCTGTTTTTTTTAATTTGTTACTTTGTGTTTTTTTTTATAAATTGTTACTTTTTTATACATACCTGATAGTGGATCTCCTATTGCTTCCTGCATTTTTACAAAGAAGGGTAGTGCCTCCCTTAAAGGCACAGAAGCATACATATATAGAGCCTAATATTATTGGCTCTATCTCAGGTGAGCACATTTATGTATTTTATGTGACCTTTCCTTTGTACATACGGATCTGCACTAGGAACTCTACCTCTATTTTTTTTCTTCTATATACCCTGCGAGCTGTATATCGGGAGAAGGTCTGGTATTACCTCAATATACCCAAGCCATTGTGATCCGAGCCAATCTTTAGGCTCTGTACCATGTGAGTTGGACATACATTCTCTTCCACTCCACATAGATTTTACTAGCATATTGCACTATGATGTGTATTTTTCTGTTTTAGACTTTATATACTGTCTATTCCTTCAAGTGAACTATTATTCTAATAGGGGTAAGGAATTTATTTATTTCAAGCGCTCCACCAGAGTGATCTCTGTTGGCGGCAGTATCATCCACGAAGTTCACACCCTTTTTCACAATCTATTTGTGTAGGATTGGGATACCTGCATGTGTGTAGAGCTGCTGATTGTTATTTATACCACCACTAAGCACCCTTTTGCACAGAGCACTTCTTTTTTCTAACCAAATGTTTTGCCCATGCACATCCCTAGTCAGGTGTGTGGGATCTCCATTATGATCATTTCTAACATGGTTGGAAATTGGAGTTGACACATTGGTATTCATGATTGAGCAGACGTGCTGTAAGATTCTTCTTATAAGCTCTTGATATGTTTTGCCAATGTACTGAATCCGGAAACTACATGTTATCAGGTAGACCACTCGTACAGAGCCACAATTGATAAACTCTCTGATCTTGTGTTCCTTCTGGGTTCTTGTACTCACCACTGATTTTGTGGGTTTGATGAATTTGCAGGCCTTGCAGTGTCCACGTTGATATATTCCTGTTGCCTGCGTTAGCCATGTGGGTTGTGGTTTTGTTGGTTCAATGGGGCTGTGTACTACCAAACTTAAGTCAGGAATACCATTTTGGCAATATTTGAGATCCAGACGAAACTGCTCTAATGATAAGGCCTTTTTGGGTGAAGCATAAAAACTAAGAACTATGTTTAAACAAAAAGGGTATCCGAATAGAATCCTAAAAAAGGCATTTCAACGAGCACTGGCCCAAAACAGAAGTGATAGTTTGAGAGTCACAAGACCTAAGGAGGAACAAAAAACTAATCAGATGTGTGGGCACTTAATGACCAATATTGGGACCCAGTGTTAAAAATCATGTCCCATAATTGGCCAATCTTACAACATGATATGGATCTACAGGACAACATCTGTAAGTTTCGTAATATCACAGCACGTAGATCTAAGAATCTAAGGGACCATCTAGTACACAGCCACAAAATAACAACTAGTTTCAGTTGTATTAATTTATGGATAGTGCCCACTGCTATCCAAGTACAGTGTGAGCCTAAATGTTTAAACCTAAGGGATTATTCACTAAACGTATCATTACTGAGTACCGTGACCATCATAAGTTTGGAAAGTAGCACATAATATATACTATACCATATCACATTACTTGTTTATGATAGTCCCACTTTAAGCAATCTACTTCTGAAGTTTGATAATACCATTCTCATTGATAGTATGTAAAATGTGGATTTTTATTTATTAGTTAATACCATAGGCAGTTACAAAGGGTAGATTAGTTGCTAAATTAGAAAAAAAATATGTGAATAAAAAAAGTGAGGGGTATTCAATCAGCAATTAGTGATGGTGTCACTATCTGCATGAAACGTGAAACAGCAGCTTTGGCCTAGTCATAAATAAACCATTGTTCATGTCGGGTTATAGGACCCCGCAGTGATGTCACGTTATCAGTCATCTGACACAGGTTGCTATGAGACCTCAAGGTTTCTATGGTGCATGACTGGGATGTAACATTTACCCATACTGATGGAATAAAGCAACAAAGAAAATGGTAAGGAAATGCTTTTATTTCTAAATATACATTCGTTCATCGCCTTTTATTAATTTTAAATACCCGACAAATATTCTGGGTTGATAAGAACAAGTCTTAGTTTGCATCTCATCCCACCATCCTGCAGAATTATGCTTTATTCCAGATTATAAGAAGACATTATTTTAAATCATCATTACGATTTTATATTTTTCATCTCTAAAAACACAAATTATGTTCTTAATTTTGCTTCTTGCTTAGTACAAGGAGGATGTATATTACACATTACGGATGTTGCTCTTATATAAATTATATTTATTACATATGTTATATTAAATAAATTACATTATATGGGTTTATGTCAGTTTGTTTCTGGTGTTCTAACGTGATTTCATATAATAGTTAGTGCTGCAAATTTCAGTTCTATAAACAGTATCTGCTTTATGTCATGCCGACGACAGAGTATGTTACTGTTTCTCATCTGTAGCCACTTAACTTTGTTCTAATATTATGGCAATAATTGTGTTTCTAATGATCTACGCGGTTGTTCTAGTGATGAGTTATTTGCACATAGTAATATAATTAACGCCAACAAAAATAATGAAACAGGAGATGATTAAAAGGATAGTGAAAGAAAACAGCTTCATTTGGAAATGGGATATTAAATATACTCCTAGAGGGTCGTAATCCCTGCGGTTTTATGATGTCTTTCAGATGGGATTGATGGAAAGATGTCTCATTGGTGTCTATTTCTGACAGAAGTGTTTAAAATTAAGAGGTTGAGAGGCTCTGAGTCACAGATATCTGTATGGATGTTCTTCTCACTTGGTATGTGTGATATACAGGCCTGACTGACTTTGTATATCCCAGCACGTTGCGTCACTAAGCCTTGCTCAATGCAAAGAAGTTACAGATATCTATGTGTGCCTAAAAGATGTAGACTATGTTTTCTGCACCTCTTCTGACATCAATAAGTACCAGAGTATGAGTGCATAACACAGCTTGCAGCTGGATGTGTATACATATGTAGACAGCACATGTGCATTTTATTGCGCCCTACTTCCACATGGCACCATGGGGTGTATTTAATAACACCAAACTTTATTAAACTAAAAAACAATTGCAAATTATAGGCAAAAAGTGATGATTTGGAAGCATTTTACAACTCAGCTATAGACATAGCTGGGCTATTTTAGTTTAAATTTTGCAATATGATTTCCACTACAGTTTAGTGAAAAAAATCCCCTATAGCAGAAAAGGTAGATGAATATGGATCCTAAAAAAGGTCCTCAATGAAGATATATTGCTTATGTTAAATATTTGTTGCAACCTTAATTAGGATTGAAGGTCGCTGAACTCATTTTGCAGCCTGAATTTGCTGACATTCTATCTGATTTTTTTTTTTAAATTGCAATATTATCCAGGATTCCACAGATCCCTTTTCCCACTGCGACATCAGTTCAGTGTTTGTAACCAAAACCATCGAGCGAGTCATTTCACCAATGGCCGTGCAGCTTTGTCACTTGATCATTTCCCTGGAATGTGACAGAGCTAACTACAGTGGAATACAGTGGGATTTAGAGCAAATTGCAGACAATCTATCCAAATCGACCGAACATTTTGCACACGTAGCTATCAGGTAAGGCACGTTAGGATTCTTTATACCATGAGGTGTGTATAATACTGCACAGACATCTTTATTGTTACACGTAGAATCATTTACCTGCAAAAGTAAAGGTCTTTTTCGGTCCGCTAGCTTGTCTTTTTGGTTAATTCTGTTAGTATTGTATTATTTGTATTCTCTATTGAAGAATAAATAACTATTTTACAAAATGGGTCCCGTATGGTATTAGTTATGTATTGGAATATAAACAACCAGCACTTAAATCAAGACATATTGCCACTACCCCACATGATATCCAAGGATGTAAGTGCAACATGGATGAAGGACACCCTGGGTGGGCCAACCTTTGCCCATCCTATGCCAGTCCTCATTGCTTATTTCTCAGTAAGTATGCTCTTTGTGATAGAGATCTGTGTTCCTGAAGGCACATATTCACGTACCTCAGGTTTTAATACTTTTTACTGTACATCTGTTCTCAGAAAGTCATTTTAGAAAATCACTTTGTTTATATAGCTCTAGTCACACATGTGTGTGACTTACAGCCTTTCTAAACACTTCATGTAAAGAGAGATCTAATGTTTAAGCTTCCTTTATTGTACATTTTGTTTAATTTATAGTTGATCTCCTGCACTGTTAATAGCCTTCTAGACCCTGTCAGAGCCTCCTGTGTGTGATTAAAGTTAAATTTACAGAGCAGGATATAAAAAAACTTCTAAACTAGGTTAATATCTGATTGAAAATTAAACCTTTTTTTCTTCATGTAGGCTGTGTGAATCACAGCCAAGGGAGGTGTGGCTAGGGCCGCATAGAAAAAACCAAAAGGGATTTAACTCCTAAATGGCAGAGAATTTAGGAATGAGACTTCAGAGGCATGATCTATACAACAGAACTGCTTTATAAAACTAAAGTTGTTTTGGTGACGTGAGTGTCCATTTAAGGATCAATAATATTCATTGAAGAAAAAAAACACAAAAAACATGGAAACATAGAATGTGACGGCAGATAAGAACCATTCGGCCCATCTAGTCTTCCCAATTTTCTAAATACTTACATTAGTCCCTGGCCTTATCTTATAGTTAGGATAGCCTTATGCCTATCCCACGAATGCTTATCTGTGTTAACCTCTACCACTTCAGCTGGAAGGCTATTCCATGCATCCACTACCCTCTCAGTAAAGTAATACTTCCTGATATTATTTTTAAACCTTTTTCCCTCTAATTTAAGACTATGTCCTCTTGTTGTGGTAGTTTTTCTTCTTTTAAATATAGTCTCCTCCTTTACTGTGTTGATTCCCTTTATATATTTAAATGTTTCTATCATATCCCCCCTGTCTCGTCTTTCCTCCAAGCTATACATGTTAAGATCCTTTAACCTTTCCTGGTAAGTTTTATCCCGCAATCCATGAACCAGTTTAGTAGCCCTTCTCTGAACCCTCTCTAAGGTATCAATATCCTTCTGAAGATACAGTCTCCAGTACTGTGTACAATACTCCAAGTGAGGTTCTGTACAATGGCATGAGCACTTCCCTCTTTCTACTGCAAATACCTCTCCCTATACAACCAAGCATTCTGCTAGCATTTCCTGCTGCTCTATTACATTGTCTGCCTACCTTTAAGTCATCAGAAATAATCACCCCTAAATCCCTTTCCTCAGATGTAGAGGTTAGGACCTCAAATATTCTGTACTCTGCCCATGGGTTTTTACGTCCAAAATGCATTATCTTGCACTTATCCACATTATATGTCAGTTGCCACAATTCTGACCATTTTTCTAGTTTACCTAAATCATTTGCCATTTGGCTTATCCCTCCTGGAACATCAACCATGTTACATATCTTAGTCATCAGCAAAAAGACATACCTTACCATCAAAACCTTCTGCAATATCACTAATAAAAATATTAAAGAGAATGGGTCCAAGTACAGATCCCTGAGGTACCCCACTGGTGACAAGTCCAACCTTCGAATATATTCCATTAACTACAACCCTCTGTTGCCTGTCACTCAGATACTGCCTTACCCATTCAACAATATTGGAATCCAAACTTAAAGATTGCAGTTTATTGATAAGCCTTCTATGTGCAACAGTGTCAAAAGCCTTACTGAAATCTAGTTAAGCAACGTCGACTGCACCACCCTGACCTATAATTTTAGTTACCCAATCAAAAAAATCAATAAGATTAGTTTGGCATGATCTCCCTGAAATAAACCCATGTTGTCTCTGATCTAGAAATCCATGTGTTTTTAGATGTTCAACAATCCTATCCTTTAACATGGTTTCCATCACTTTCCCCACTACTGAAGTAAGGCTTACTGGCCTATAGTTGCCCGACTCCTCCCTATTACCTTTCTTGTAAATGGGCACAACATTCGCTAACTTCCAATCTTCTGGGACTACTCCTGTTAACAATGATTGGTTAAATAAATCTGTTAATGGTTTTGCTAGTACACCACTAAGCTCTTTTAATAGCTTTGGGTGTATTCCATCAGGTCCCATTGACTTATTTGTCTTTACTTTTGACAGTTGAAATAGAACCTCTTCCTCTGTAAACTCACGTGTAATAAATGACTCATTTATCCTTTTTCTCAACTGAGGTCCCTTTCCTTCATTTTCATCTGTAAATACAGAACAAAAATATTCATTGAGGCAGTCAGCTAGACCTTTATCCTCTTTTACATACCTTCCTTCTTTTGTTTTTAATCTAACTAATCCTTGTTTTACTTTTCTTTTCTCATTTATGTATCTAAAAAAAGTTTTGTCCCCCTTTTTTACTGACTGTGCTTTTTTCTCTTGTGTGTGTGATTTGGAAGCTCTTATAACTTACTTAGCCTCTTTCTGCCTAATCTTATAGATCATTTTGTCTTCCTCACTCTGGATTTTTTTATAATTACTAAAAGCTAACTTTTTGTTTTTAACTATTTTGGCCACATCTGCAGAGTACCACAGTGGTTTCTTGAATTTTTTGCTTTTACTGACAAGCCTAATGCAATTTTCTGATGCCTTCAATAGTGCAACTTTTAAATAATCCCATTTCTCTTGGACTCCATTTAAATTGCTCCAGTCTGATAATAACTCCTCTACACATATTCTAATTTTAGATTAAAGTCTAAAACTTTTGTTTTTGTGTGGTGTGACTCAGTCACTGTTCTTATATTAAACCACACTGACTGATGATCACTGGATCCTAAACTTTAACCTATAGTAATATCTGATACCAAATCTCCATTTGTTAACACTAAATCTAGTATGGCCTCTTTACGAGTTGGCTCCTCAACAACTTGTTTTAGAGACAATCCCAGTAGTTTAGAATATGTGTGCTCCTGGCACAAGTAGCTATTTTTGTTTTCTAATTTACATCAGGAAGATTAAAGTCACCCATTAAAGTCACCCAAAAAAAACCCATTCCCTCCACACAGGCTGCGAGCTCAAGACTGAAGCATTCTTCAAGCAACATAGAACTTCATAAGACCCTGCTGCTTCCCCGAGGCCTGCCTGGTAAAGATATTACATACATTACCGGGCAAGCCTCATGGGACTTTGTTTGAGTAAATTAACCTGTTTATGTGCAAGTGGCATTGAACCCTAGTATGTAAAATAGAAAAAGTTAAAATTATATTTAACTTTGAAAGAGGAGATAATCACCAGAATTGTCATAAAAGAGTGCAGATATTAATGTTCTGTTTTCTTGGTTCCTATTTTTCAATGTTTTCGGAGAAGGAATCTTGTTTTCTTATTCACAGATGTTTATATGTATTTTATTTTAAAAGTAAAAGACATAACAATGTAGGTTTTCCATGCAGGCTAAATGCTCAGTGTGATGACAAATGTCTTAAAGAAGAAATGGAACAAGCTGCAAACGCAGTTCTCATCATCGGAAAAAACATGTTACTGGCCGTCCAGAAACTGTGCATCCAGCCCAGTGTTCAGAAGCATCACGAGGAGCTGATCATTGCAGCCCAGAGCATCTTGCTAGGAACCCTAAAGGTGTGATGGTTGCCCTGTATCCAGACATTAGCTAAAGCAGGAATCATGGGAAATGTATCCATTTTCACCTTAACTTTTGCTACTCTATATTTTGTCATGTCTCATCAATTCCCACGTAGCAAGTAACTTATATTGTTGCAAAAACACTCATTCACTTTGCATTGTGGTAGAATTGGAAGTCAAATTGCTAACTTTTTCCAGTTTAGTAGGTTTGCCATCTTGGCTATTTTAGCCTACAATATGATATTCTGTTTTCACGTCACCACAGTTCATCGTTTAGTGAGTAACCCCTTAATATTTCTGGAGAAGTAAGTGCAATACATACAGTGAACTGGTATTCAATCATTATTACAATCAGCACAGCACATTCACACATGTCTTACTATACAAAATGTTTCCAATTTGTAATCCATTTACTTTCAAAAATCCTCTCCAAATAGCATTTAAAAAAAAAAAAAAATTTCACAAGCATACACTCTACATTATCATACATTAGAAATGTTTATAGATCTAATAACATTTTCCTGGCTAACCCTGACAACATGAACAACCGGGTTTGCTCTGCCCGCTAGATGCCAATAGGAATGGAAAACATAAATAAATAAATAAAAAATAAGAAGGCCTGTTTGCCACAGAACCACCAGGATTTTTTTTTCTGTCACACAGTCCAAACGTAAGAAAGGAGCCTGCTTTTGCAGGTAACGATATTTAAGGCCCAGCCAAAGTCCAGGTTCTTCACTGAAGACAATGTAAACATTACTTAAGCAGAGGTGATCACTTCTTTTAGTAACTGGTGTTCTGACCTAATCTCTCTCCTTGAGGATATGACAATGACAGGGGTGGATCCAGAACCTAATCTCGGGAGGGGCACTGGTAGAAACAATCCTGGCACAATAACCACTACAGCTCTTTGTAGTGGTTATGGTGCCAGGAGTACCGTGGCACACTCCCAGAGTAAGTAGTCAAACCGTTTAAGAACGGTTTGCCACCTTACCTAGCCCTCGGTCAGGCGCAACTGATCCAACAGGCACAGCCAATGCTCAGAAATTGCTTTTGCCAATGTTGTAGAGCAAATGGAATAATAAACATGTTTTTATTTGAGTAAAAAGGTTGTTTTGTAAAAGTGGCCTATTAAGCACAATGCGCCCGATCCTGTTCTTACTCACATTGTGCCTGACCGAGGGCTAGGGTCTGCCAGGATAGGAGCTGTAGTAAGGGAAAATGACTATAGTAGGGCATATGGGTAGTAGTGTGTGTGTGAGGCGTGTGGTGTGTGTGAGGGATGCAGTGTGTGTGTCTGTGTGTTTGTCAGAAGGATGCAGTGTGTATGTGTGAGGGGTACAGTGTGTGTGATGGGTGCAGTGTAGGTGTGTATGTGAGGGGTGCAGTGAGTATGTGCGCAGGGTGAAGTGTGTGAGTGAATGGGTGCAGTGTGAGTGTGTGTAGGGTGCTGTGTGTGTGAGGGGTGCAATGTGTGAAGGGTGTAGTGTGTGTGTAGGGTGCAGTGTGTGTAGGGTACAGTGTGTGTGAGGGTTGCAATGTGTGAAGGGTGTAGTGTGTGTGTGAAGGGTGTAGTGTGTGTGAGGGGTGTAGTGTGTCTGAGGGGTGCAGTGTTTGTGTGTGTGAAGGGTGCAGTGTGTGTGAGAGGTGCAGTGTTTGTGTGTGTGAAGGGTGTAGTGTATGAATGGGGGTGCAGTGTGTGCGTATATAGGTGCAGTGTGTGTGTATGGGGGTGCAGTGCATGTGTATGCAGTGTGTGTATGGGGGTGCAGTGTGTGTGTATGGGGATGCAATGTGTGTATGTGGATGCAGTGTGTGTATGTGGGTGCAGTGTGTGTGTATTGGGGTGCAATGTGTGAGTATGGGGTGCAATGTGTGTGTATGGGGGTGTATGGAGTGCAGTGGGTGTATGGGGTGCAGTAAGTATATGGGGGTGCAGTGTGTGTATGGGGGTGCAGTTTGTTCATGGGGTGCCGTGTGTGTATGGTGGTGCAGTGTGTGTGTATGGAGGTGCAGTGTGTAAAAGTGTATGGTGTTATTGTGTGGGGTGGGGTGGGCAGATCCATAAAAATATATCTATAAAGGTTTTGATTTTTTGTATTAAAAATATATATACTCCCTCCCTTCTTCCCTTTGCTGAGGGAGAGGGGATATTTTAGCTCAGGCTAGAGTTCACTCTCGCGAGATCTGGAGCGTTGCCACGATAACCGCGGCAATGCTCCGTTCTCGCAAGAGGAGGACCCGGAGGAGCTACAGGCGGAGCTCCCGGGTCCTCTCTTCCTCCCCCACCGGCTGCCAGCAAAGTGCTCTCTGATCTCTGATCTCCCCTCCAGTCCAGCAGGGGAGGGGCAGAGCTTCGGCTCTTTACAATTTTCTTGGGGGGGAGGGGGAGAGGAAGGACAATTGCCCTTTGCCCCCCCCCGGATCCACCAGTTGACAATGATACTGGTAATCAGTGGTGTATCCTGGTATCCTGGCTAGGCAGGACAAAACTCGGCGCCCACCCAAACCTTCCCCCCCGCCCCGCCCCGCCTTCTAAATATACACACACACACACACATTCACTGACAGATACGCATACACTAGCTAACAGAAACACACTCACACTCACTAAGAGACAAACACACACTCACTAACAGACATACACACACACTCACTAACAGACACACTCACAGGCAAACACACTCACACTAACAGACACACACACACACACACAGTCAGACACACACACACACTAACAGACACACACTGACTCACTAACAGACACACACACTAACAGATACACACACACTAACAGACACACACACACACTAACACACACACACTAACAGACACACACACTACACTCACATTAACACATTTTTTTTAACCCCCCCCCCCCCCAGCCTCCTTACCTTTGGGAATGCTGGGGGGGGGGGTTCCCTCTCTTCCTTGGGGTGCAGTGGCTGTTGGGCGGGCGGCTGGCGAGGGAGCACTTCCTCTGAGCTGTCTGCTCAGCTCCCTCGCGCGCCGCAGAGTGATGCCGGGAACCGGAATATGACGTGATATTCCGGCTCCCAGCCTCACTCTGCGGCGCGCGAGGGAGTGGAGCAGACAGCTCAGAGGAAATGCTCCTTCGCCAGCCGCCCGGCTGCCCGGCATGTCAGTTAGATGCAAGGCTAACAAGCATTTGCCCTGGGCATTTGGGGGCGGCTTTTTTTGCCGCCCCCTGGAAAATGCCGCCCAAGGCAAATGCCTTGTTTGCCTCGCGGCTAAAACGTCCCTGCTGGTAATGCATAAAATAACCCACAACACTGGTGTCCTGTGTCCATATTGCATCACTGGTGCTGCCCAAAGGGGGTGGACTCACTCCAGGGGTAGGGGTAGGTCATACTGAAAAATTGCCAGGCTACCTGCCAATCACACACAGTCTGGCCCAGTATGTGTGGACTATGCAAGGAGCACTGTTTCAACACTCTCTGCAGGGTCCTAGTGCCACAAAAGCAAAATATTGCAGTTTGTTTGCATGTTCTTATATATTTCTATGCCAGATAACAAACTTTCCCTTTTAACAAATGCCTCACTATAATTTACAAATGCCATCTTGGGGGAGATAGCAGTGGTCTATACAAGATGCAAGATTACTAAAATGTCCAGTCAATGTACATAACAATTTGCTTTTTCAATAGATCCTCCAAATTGAAGATGATGCAGACGTACGAAAAATTTGTCAAGCTGCAGATTGGGTCCTGGACTGCCTGATATTTTTACAGACAGCAGAAAGTATGTCACACTTATTAACATGTTTCCGTGAATTTTCAGAGGCTTTGCTTTTATTGAACAGTTTAACACAAAGACGGATAATGGACCTCAAAGATTCCCTACATCAGGAGAATTTGTCAGGAACACTGCAAATTCTCAGAAAGTGCGTCCCAATGCTATATACAGCAACGCAGAGTAATATAACACACAAACAAAATGAGCAAATGACAGCTTCAAAAAAATATGTGTTTGATCTTGCTGCGAAAACAGTACAGGAGTTGAAGCTTTTGTTGACTAATGGAATAATCAAACAGAGTCAAGTTACCCAAAGGACAACATTTTCTCAACAGATACACCTTTTAACTGAGATACTCACCAATACAAGACCTTCTGAGCTGCACAGAAATGACATTGACTTCAACTTTGGGACCATAGTTTTCTACTCCATGTTTGTAGCTGATTGTTCAAGACCGAAGGTAAAGTCAAGGCTTGTAAGTCACTGTCAACATATTTTAGAATTTCGGAAAAAAATATTTGACCACTTAATAGCAACAAGTGATAGGTCACCCCAGGCAAAAAATTATTTTGAATTAGAAAATGTGTGCTACTCTATGAAAGATGAGTTGAACTGTCTCAATGAAACTTTGGTCTCTGCTATATTTTATCTCATCCTAGATACATTTTCAGACGCCAAAGATCCTTTGAAAAGATTACTGAAAAATTCACTAAAGACAGGCAGGAAAACAGACCATCATATTCAAAACCCCTTTGCTTCAAAGTCATTCCCACCTCTTCTCCAAGAATTTCACAGTCACGCAAACCAGCTATTAAAGGTAGCAAGCCTTGTCTCAGCTCATTGTGCTGAGGAGAAGACCAAAGAGAAAATTCAAAACTCTGCTGACTACTTACGCAGAGTTCGAGATGACCTGGTTGCCCTCTTTGTAGGAATTAGTAAGACTCATTGTGTAAGTAAAAACTTGGAATGGTCTCAATCCATTTATCATAGATGGGCTCACACGATAGACAATTTGCTGATAAGTTTTGATGGGATGGTGTCTGTGAATACATTTGTACAAATGTCTGTTAAGGAAATTGAGCAGAACAAACGTAGCTGTGAAGAGTTGTTGGGAAGTCAGGACTATGAAACATTTCGGCAACATGCAGCTGATCTATGTGGTTTGGTAGTACGTGTTATACAAGTTGTTAGCCGATATGTTGATCAAAGCAAAGACCCCATTTTTAGAAATGGTTTGCGTGTCTTAGTTAGGCAACTGGATAGCTCCTTGACTGAAACCAAATCAACCGTAGCAAAATGCTCAGAATTTATCTCAAGTGCTACAGCTCAGAAGTTTTTCTTGGAGAAAACAAAATGTTTGTTTGAAATGTTATATAATGTACTAGAGGGAGTAAATGGCTATAAGCATCCAGACTTAATGAGCCCTTTAAGGACTGAAGTACATCCCAATCTTCAAAAACCATTGTTTATTGATTTTTGTGAGTCTAAAGGGCCACCAGACAGCCAAGATAAGACATACAAGGACTTTAATACATGTTTATTTTCAAATGAAGGATTTTTAAGCAAGCCTCTTCCTTTATCCTCCTCTCCAAGCAGTGACTCAACGAGGAGCTCAAGTACCATAAACAACATGGAGCTTACAGACCTAAAGCTGATGGTTGATAACCTAACCATGGCAGCACAGAAACTAGATAACAAAGAAGTCTACACATATTGTTCTTCTCTTGTTGAAATTGCCAAAACGTATATTGATACATCCAAAGAGCTACTCTCTCTCGATGAGCTAGCGAACTCTGAGACACTGAACTATAATGATATTGAGGCCCTGGTCTCACATCTTGTCCAGTTCAGTAAGAATGGGAATATTAACTCGGTTTCAAACATGGGTAGCCTAATTCAAGCTGCTGTTTTCCTTTCACATCGTATTGATGAAACAAAACAGAATCTTGTCTCCAAGGTAAGGTTTTGGTATGATTTATCTTACCAAGTGTTCTGTTCTCCTGATAGAAGTGATGTAGCTAGGAATGTTCAATTATTTAGCAGAACTATGCAAAGCTTAGAAGCAATTATTAAGATATTAAGTGAATCTTTTAATAGCTCTCAACATGATGAAGAACCTGCACTGTTCTCTGGAAATCAAGAATCCCATGATAAAATTAAATCTGGATGGACAAAGTTGCAGGTTATAGCCAAGTATTTGTTATCAAAAGGATGCTCCACCAGACTTCAAGCAGACAAAGCAAAACTGGACGCCAAGTGTGTGCTCTGGTCAGCTATTCTACAACAACTATTAAAATCTGCAGATGAGTTCACTGGAGTCACTACTTTATTTGTTCTTGGGACAAAACATTTAACCAATTTAAACATTATTGAGAGTAATAGCCTTGCTCTTTTGTGTGAAACATCGTTATGGCTGCAAGAAGCAACAACTTTATTGACTGCCAACTGTACTGTAGAAGGAGAACATAACAATATTGTCTGTCTAAAAAAACAGGTTGAATTATTGACTGAAGCTATTTTGAAAGCTAGGGACGATACTCATACTTCTACATTTTCATCTATATTCTTAACAGCAGTGATTGTGCTTCAACAAAGAGAGCTTACAGTCAAGTTGAAATTACTTATGTACCATCTGAAGACAATTTACAAAAGATATCATAATTCAATGCGTAAAGTGGTGGGTATTGCCATCTCATCGGCGAACATTTCATTTGGCGACAAGATAAGCATAACAGAGAATTTTGAGAGGGAAGCAAGTTTACTGGTTGATAATATAAAATTAACAAAACAAATACTTGAAGACACTCTTCCTTTAGGAAAGCACAAAGACTTAATTTTTCTGTCGGAACACCTATTTTTTTTGACTATCCATATTCTGGCGAGGGCAAGGGCTCATGTTAAAAGCCAATTAAGTTGGGAAATGTTTATGCTAGAGGCGATTTCGCTAAATTGGTCAGCCAAAGCCCACCAATTAATTTTACACCTTAAGCTGTACACTGACTTAGATGATACAACATTGGTTCTAATAAAACAAAGTTTGCAAATGGATGAGCCTTCTGGAATGAAAGACAATCACAGTTCAGACTCATGTAGTAGTAGGAGTCTAAAAGACTCTTTAGTTGAAAGAAATGTAAGTGAACAGAAAAATGTTGTAGAGAATGAACAGAACCATTTCAACAAGAAAGAAGAAGAAAAGTCCATTCATATGCATAGCAATAATGTGGTTTATGAGCAAAATGCCTCCTGTGGAGACAAACTAATAGAAACACATTCAAGAAAATTCAACAGTGTTTGTCAAGAAAAGCAATCAATCAAAATACAACAAAGTGAAGAAATACAGCAAAAGCAATTGAATGACCCGAATTCAAGTGTAATACAAATATATGAGACGTTTAACAGGATGCTTAAGACGGATGATAATAATCAAGAGCAGCCAACAAGTGACGGGAAAATTCTATCGAACAAAGAACTCGTGCAAACAATCAATGAGCAGTCAAATGTAACCTTTATTAAGGATATGGGAAATCTACAAAAGGAATTACCTAATCAGAAAACAGAGATCATCTCTATACAAGAAATTACCAATAAACAAACGGAAGGTTTAAACAAGGAACCAAGAATAGAAGGCCATATAGTGCAAGATCAAGCCAATTTTAAACAACAAATGACATTTAATGTGGCAAAACAAGAATTAACACCTATTAAAACGCATGCAACCTTAAAGACGAACAAAAACATAAAAAGACAAATACAAAAAGTCAAAAAGGAATCAAACATTACTCTCATTGTACAGGAAATAGAAAACTCACTGAAAGCATCAGGAATTGAGAAACTGGAGACGGCGCCAGAGAAAGAACCCACTAATGAATCAATAGGAATTTTCAAAGAGCAATATGAAGATGAAACACAAAGAGAAAAAGAATTAGACAAGATGGAAAGGAAAATAACACATAAGGTACCGCAAAATTTGGTATTTGCAAAAACTCAAACAGCTGTTAAAAGAGATAGACAAGTGAGTGAAATGAATGAAATTGCTCATAAGGAATCAAATTTAACTTTAATTGAAAATGAAATAGAAAGCTCACTGCAAACATCAACCAATCAAACGGCAGAGATATTCCTTGAGAATGAAAATGTCAGTGCACCAATCAGAGTTTTCATTGAGAAACCTAGAAATAGTATGTGCAGAGAACAAGAACTGGACAATTCAAAAACACAAAATAAACCCAATAGAGTGGAAAGACATTCAACATTTGCAAGACCACACACAGCACTAAAAAAAGGTTTGCATGAAAAAGTTTGTTGGTTGAAATCAGCATTGGTTAAAGAAAATCAGCAAAATACAGACCGTGGAAAACCTCAAATGACTTATTCTGGGGTAAAGAAAAAAGGCACAGTCATTGGGGAACAGAAAAAGGTAACTCTTATTGTATTTTTTCATAGTGAAACCGAATTAGGAAGAAATATGTGCTAAACCTCCAAATATAAAATATGTTTTCTGAATATTTGCTCAGCGTAGTTCCGATGCAAAAGCAATCAGCACGATAAATAAGGTTACCATAAACTGTAAGTGATTTTCAATGTTCTTCAGTGGCAGAATTTGCAGGGGAGTGATACTTTCAGTATATGAATGAGCTGAAAAGTTTAATTTAATTGACATTGCGATAGTGGAATAAAAACAACACTATGAAGAACGGAAGCGTTATGGGGGCGATTCTGGAAAGTGTCAAACCATTCACAAATAAGTGATGAGATGGTGCCAGAGCGCCCTTAGCACCACTATAACCATAACCACTCTATCAAGCTCTGGGTTTATTTAACTACATGAGTAGTCTGGTACAATATTTTTGTTTTTTGACTCAGGCATGTGCCAAATGGATTTCTTATAATATAGATTATGAAAGGATCCAGATTGAGATATTACACAAGACTATAGTAACCCAGACCACTTCATCTCAATGCCATGTCCACCCCATTTTAACCCTGCAAGTTAAAGGAACACTATAGGGTCAGGAACACAAACATGTATTTCTGATGCTTTAGTGTTAAAACCATTATCTAGCCCCCCTGACCTCCTCTTCCCTCTAAATATAGTAACATTTTGCTTTTGTTCAAGTCTGCAGCTGCTGGCTCTGCCCCTGATCTGCCTGCTTGGCTGACATAATCAGAAGTGATTCTCTGAGCCAATCACAATGCTTTCCTATAGGATTGGCTGAGACTGTCAAGGAGACAGATCAGGGGCACAGCCAGCACAAGTCAAAAACAGCTCTGGCCAATCAGCATATCCTCATAGAGATGTGTTGAATCAATACATCTCTATGAGGAAAGTTCAGTGTCTCCATGCAGGGGGTGGAGGCACTGAATGGCAGTGCTGCTCACTGTGTAGCACCCTTCCAGGAAGCACCTCTAGGAGCCATCTAAGGAGTGGCCAGATGAATTATCCATAGGCTGTAATGTAGAACTGCATTTTCTCTGAAAAGACAGTGTTTACAGCAAAAAGCCTGAAGATAATGATTCTACTCACCAGAACAAATTCAATAAGCTGTAGTTGTTCTGGTGACTATAGTGTCCCTTTAAAACATTGCCATTCTGCAGAATAGCAATGTTTACCTTGCAGGGTTTAAATGCCTCTGCTCGCTGTCACTCAGTCAGTCACCAGAAGCGCTTCCTCCAAAAATCTGAGTAAAACTCTGCTATTAGAATCGTATGGTCTCATAGAGACTGATTGACATTTGGCCATGCATGCACACTAGCCTCCCAATGCTTTTCTATGGGAAAGCATTGTATTGGCTGAGATAATCAATATCGATGATCCAGCGCTGTGAGGGGGAAAAGGTAAGTAAAATACTTTTTTTAATCCATAGAGGTGGGCGCTGGTAAAATAAATGACCACCAGGGCGCTATAGTTCCAGTAATACACATTTGAATTCTTAATGCTAGAATTTTTCTTTAAACAAGAAGCTTAAAAGTACCTCATAGACTCTAACAAGATTATTTACTAAAGTGAGAGTTCAAATAGAATTCAAGGTAAATTTCAAATTTAAGGCCAGAGTAGTAGAACTGAAAGCATAACTTACTTAGAGAATTTTTTAAGATTGTCTATTTAGACCTTATATTTGAAATCCACCATAAAATTGACTTTGAATTCTCATTTTAGTGAATAACCCTACAATATTGTACGTAGTTAGATGTTACAGGGTATCTGGCTACTACAATGAGACTGCTGACCCCTACGTTAACACCTGTTGATTCGGGGGCGTGGCCAACTGAGAGACTGAACGGACGTCTCTATGCGAGGCTCCGTGCTCGGAAAGCGAAAAAGAGTACTTTGGCCGAAAAATACAGGCTTACCAGCTACCACATTTCACCCCACACCAGCAAACACCTGTTGATTCATTTAACTTTACTGGGATTAAGCCCGGGTCCAAGCTTCGAGAAGCATGGAAAAGGTCTGGAGCCCTAAAACTCCCACAAGGGGTATCACTGTCACCTCTAAGGATCCCACCAGCAGCCACATGGCTTGGACCTTCCCAACGTAGAGACTCATATACAGATGTCTTTTTTGATTTAATAAACCTGGAAACGTCTTGTTTGCAATCTCTTCTATAATGTAGCAGAAAAGTGGCGTGAGTCTAATATTATGCATTGTCCTAGAAGTTGCACAATATGTGATGATTAAATCAAATATATTGATGTCACATTGTTCTTTTTTTCACCCAACAGTTAAACTGTAGACCACGTGAAGAAACCCATGCACACAACCAAATGATGGCTAAATGTCCTCTGGCTGATGAGCTGGAGACTTGGGAGGGTGAGAACAATGTAGTTGTACAAATCACCAGAGAAATGGCATCACACATGTCTTTCATGATACAGTATCTTAATAGAAAAGGACCTATAAAGGTATTTGTAATGGTAACCTGACAGAGTCCATCTGTTTCTCTTCAGCTGTGTTTAGGCTAGGGCATTCATTGATTGCGATAGGATCATGATTACACATAATGTCACAGATAGCTGGAGAGAGGCAGATTGGACAAAATGAGCTTTATGATAGTGAATTGTCCTGATTTGATGACGAAACTATTTACCGTTCAGTTTTAGAATTGTCACATAATGATTACGCTGTAGGTAAGACTATATATTGCGCATTGCCTGCATATCACTCCAATTATCTAATATTAATATTTAAATTGAAAGATTTCAATTTTGACAGATTAATGTGCACTGTATATTCACTTTTTAAAGATACATGGGTTTTTTACGTTCTATAGATTTTATTGTCTAAAATGTTGCGAGACCTTGGTTATTAAAGGGTATATTGATTAGATTTAAGTAGAGGGTATATACACTTAGAACATTGTTTCTAAACCTTTTACGGAGAAGTACCCTGGAAAAGTCTAAAAAAAAAATCATAAGTAAAGTACCTCTGCCTTGAGAAAGTAATTTTGAAATGTGTAGACACTAATGTTTAAGTTAATCCCATATTGGAGAAAAAAATCCTAATTAAAGGTAGTAAAGAACATTTCTAAAATAAATAGGACATAGGCTCAAAATTGTGAATGCAAGGAGGAGTGTATGAAATATTAATCTGAAGTACAAACATCCCAAAATGAAAATATAATACACACATAATAGTTACACACAGAGAACACTGAAAGAAACACAATTACACACAAAGGGCACTGACACACAAACAAAGTTACACACAGAGGAAACTGACAAACACATGCTCACTGACAGACTGTCACGATTACTATATGACCCAACACGTGAACTATGTAACACAAAATGAACAAGGACAATGTATACCGGGCCTTAGAATGGCCGGGCTTAAAGTAATAAAGAATGGTCAAAATACTAGCCGAGGTCAGGGACATAGAAAGAGACACAACGAGGAAGCAAGCCAAAAATCAAGGATACCATAAATAAAGGAAAGTCAAAATACAAGCCAAAGTCAAATACCAAAAAGAACTAGAACGCACTCAAACCACGACAAGGACACTGACCAAATGCTATTTTGAGTTTAAATAACCCTCCTAAGGTTATGATTGGTTGTATATAGCCTTTGAGCCCAAAATGTGCGTGCATGTTGTTTGCGTGACATCACATGCATGTCGGCGCCATCTTTGTTGAGGACAGAGGCGGGGCTATATTGCTTTGTGGGACCGCAGCGGCCGGCCTTGTAGATTTAATATAATAAAATAAAATAAAACAAATAATGAACACTCCTGTTTTTGAAAGTGGATTGTAAAATATGAATTTTGCAGAGCCATTACCAATTCGAAGTAACAATAAGTCTAAAAAAAACTAAACCAAACTTGTGTTAGAAAACATTAAAAACCTGTAATTATACCTATATAAAACACATTAAAAAGGTGATAACATCCCATAGGGATATCATGTAGGAAAAACTTGATATATTTATATTACAATTACCACCACTGAACGGTAACAGTTTCTGTATTCTGTGTGTGTCTTGAATCTTTTGCTTTTATTGAGACTGTCACTGATATTGAGAAAGCAACAATTTGATAATTAAATTACCAGAAGTATGATATTCTGATGTGTGATCGGAGGCCAAATAGTTAATTTATCTATTTGACTGCAACACGAGCACTCTTTCCTATACAGCTATGTTACTTGCCCACAGATTTCTTTGATTTGATTGGCCATTAATTATCATGTTCTGCCATGAGTTTATCATTATAGCAATAATACTTATTTAGCACAAATTATTTGCAACAGTGTTGATGATGAATTCTTTAGAAGGGAAGTAATTACCTGGGATTGTAACTCCATGGGCGGTTGTCTTTTGGTACATATGAACAGCACCTTGAATATGCAGCACCTTAATAATGCCTGAGCAGGAAAGGGATGGGGAATCGTGCTTCCTAGCATATAAAATGGTGTGCTAAAAATCATTTGGGATGGCTCCCATAGGGACTCTTTGAATCTTTACTGAGCTGTAGTGGTTATGGTTCTTAGAGTGCAGAAGTGCAAGGGTATTTACATGCCTGGAATAATGGATTTGGCTTTTGTGCCAGCTTTGTGATTGTCTACAAACTGAGCCAGTCATAAACCCCACAGGAACTTCTATTGATGTCCATTTCGGATACACGTTTTGGGATATATTTAGACAAACAATTTGCAATGATAATCATAAGATGACATAAGGCAGCTTACGTTCCAAAAACTCTTACTATACTTTTTACCTTCTTTAACATTAAATATGAATACTTATATCCTTTAACTTCACCTCCAACTCAATACATACTACTTTATCTGGTCCAATTGAAGGTACAAGTCCAATATGGAAATAAGAACATGTTTTTTTTTCCATTGATACGTGGTCTTTACTAGACTAGAGGATTAATTTAATGAGTTCTATTTTATGTTGGAGAAGGAGTTGTCCCTGATGAGATATGTTGGCTCAACATGGCGGGACTACCCTTTCCTGAGCCCATGATGGAACTCTAATTTGATATGTTGAATCCAAATTAAATTCTAAAATGCCATGAAGTATGATGTATTGTAGCTATCAATTCCACTATTCCCAATAGGTATATGACTATTTCTTCTTGCATGCTTTGAAGTGAATAGCATGCATTGAAGTGATCCACTTTCTTAAAACTGGTTTATATGACTGGAGTTAAGGAACATTAATATTATTTGCAATACTTTCTCAATGTAGACCACAGACCAGCTCATTGCTTCTGCTAAATGTATAGCTTCAAATGGGCAAAATTTTGTAAAATTTGTTCGGATCATGGTTAAAAACTGCCTAGACAAAAGGAGTTCAGCAGAGCTGCAGTGTGGTATGGAACAAATTCAAACAATTAGCAATCAACTGAACATCGTTTCCAGGTAAATATTGATAGAAGAAGACACTTTTGCAAGTTTTTGTATCACAAAAGTATTGCTTGAGTTACACACGGTGATATTAAAAGGGACGGTCGTTACTTTCGGGATAGAACACATTTGCAGAACTTGTGTGGAACCGATACTTGAGAACAGACTGGAACCAAATATGGAATAAATGCCTTACTTTTACATTTAAATTTAAGAGTTAAATTACTTTTATTACCGTGTATGCAGCTGTCGTCACACCTACCCAGGCTGTGACTTACACAACCTGCATAAAAAATATATGGTTTCATACAGGAGGCTACTGCAGTCTAGCAAACAGGATAAGACATTAAACAGAATTTGCATTAAGGGAAGTGTAAATATTAGATGTTTCTTTACAGGAAGTGTTAAGGAAGGCTGTGTAAGTCACATGCAGGGAGGTGGGACTAGGACAGCAGAAACAAAGTGATTAAACTAACCTAAATGATAGAGAATTGAGCAGCGAGACTGTAGGGGCAAGATCTATACACTAAAACGGCTTCATTAGGCTAAAGTTGTTTTGGTGACTACAGTGTCCTTTTAGGTTCAATCCAGAGATTTGATTCCTTGAAGATTAAAACGGACTGTGTGCCTAACCAAGTTGTCCTTCACTTAACTAGAAATGGTGATTCATTTGAATACACATATTCCAATGGCTAGAAAAATACCAAGCCTTCCTAGTGTTCGAATACTTGATACAGGACTATATTTATTAAACGAGTAATGCTACATTGAAAAGGTACACTCAAAAATATATCTAGGATGCTATGTCCCGGGGGTATCATGCAAATTTTCCAGAAGCAAATTCAGGTAGTGTTGATTAGTAAAGAAGCTTTATCCAGCAGGGAGCTTAAAACAAATTGGAATTATTTGTTTTAAAGATTAGATATAAAATACATGTTTCCTCTCTGATACATGTCACTCGTTAGAAATTACATGACAGCATTTATAAACCCTTACAATTAATTCCTCATCATACAATATTTAAATTTGTGTTTTCACTTTTGGATAATATTTTAAGGTCCCAAAAAATGCACTATGTGTAGTTATTATATCCATGATGTGGCTTTGAAAGAGCATATTCAAAACTATATATTTACTGCCAAAATACACAGTATGTGCACTATATTCAATAAAGGGACATTCCAGATCACTAATACACTTTAGTTCCCTGAGGTGCTTTATGTGTGATAAGTGTGTCCTCTTTTTTTCGGTTTACAAAAAGTGATTTCAATAAAAATTGGTACTTTTAAATAAACCTTGTTACATCACCCTGGCTATAAGTCAGGCAAAAGTTCCTAATACATCCTGGTTTGGTTAGCTCAGTAGAGCTAAACTCGAGAAGCAGCAATTGCTCAGAGCACCTGTATTGCAAAGACTTCTCATTGAACTGCATTGACAAGTCTCTGTTTTGACAGCCACTAAAAGTTTGGCCCGAGGAAGAAGAGGTCTTGAAAAAGGCTGCAGACAACAGATCTGCAGCTTTTGCAAGATGTTTTGCAAGATGTTTTTAAATATAGCACCAATAAAAAAAAAAATCATAATACATGCATGCATGGTTTCATTGGTGATATCTACTATATAGTGATTAGTAATTTATTTTATATATTGGCAGTGTAGTCTCCTTTAAAGTGCTAGAATGTAATAATTATTCTGAAAAGCATGTAGTATGAAACTCATTATTGTTTTTTTCTCATCTCCTGTACAGTGTAAAAGCAGCTACAGGATGTGATGATTCCACCGGGGAGGATGTTTTGGTGAAAAACGCACAGAACCTGATTCATAGTGTTCTGCAAACTTGGAAGGCTGCAGAAGCCGCTTGTCTTACGGTGAGCAAACCCAGATGGTCAAAAAAATAAAACGTACAAAAATAATATATGAAAAGAAAGGTTCTAACGTTTTCTATAGTGCCAAAAATGGATTTTCAACTGCTGTAGGTACAATAATAAAGCCCTTTACTGCCCTGATTCAAAAAAAAAAAAAGTATTTTTTTTTTAAATGCCTGTTCAAGCATCAGCGTAAATGTCTCTTTAACCTGTGATCACTGCATTAATTTAAGATTTGCTCATGTTCTTAAAAGTAAACTATACCTTATGTGATATTGCTTGATATTTTCATACATGCATACAGAATTTCATGGTTCACTCATGACAATCTACCTGCGAATAAACCTATATTTGTAAAATCCCAAGGATAGAACTGATTTTAAGTTAATTGGCAGCGATTCAAAGGGTTTATTCACAAAATGCCATGCTGATCAAAGAGTAGTACTGAGTCTGTGAAAAATTTACTAGGCTAATTATGCCAGATAAACTCTGTCTTGCATCATTTTGGGCATTGCAGATACGAGTGGAAATCATATTGAAAGACTGTAAGTTTGCTAAACTTAGGGAATAGGTCCAAATTTGGAAGCAGCAGAGTTCTGTCAAATTCTGCCCCTGATCTGAGTCAAATACTACATTTTCCATTGGAAATTGATCCATCAAGACCATTTTGTGAAAAGAGGTCTGCAGCAATGACTTTTCACCCCTATATGGTAGAGCTACTCTTTACAGATACACATAGAATTACTGCATTACAAAGAATTTAGGAACAACAAAGTTTGTAGAATGCCGATGTGAGTTTCTTATATTTTTATACACATCACACCCCATTGCAGCTGAAATTTCAGTGAGTGATTATTAACGGGACACTACAGTCCCCAGAACTGCTACTGCTTAACATAGTGGTTCTGGTGTCTATATCATGTCCCTGCAGGCTGAATCTTTGAAATGCTGCATTTTAACCCTTAAGGACACATGACATGTGTGACATGTCATGATTCACTTTTATTCCAGAAGTTTGGTCCTTAAGGGGTTAAGAGAAAAGGCAGTGTTTACATTGCTACCAAGTAACACCTCTAGTGGAATTCATTCAGATATTTTTTGTTTTCATGCTGGCTGTGTCAGTCACAGCAAGGGGAGTTGTGGCTAGCGCTGCACAGAAAGAAACAAAAGTGACCTAACACCTAAATGGCAGATAATTGAGCAAACTTGAAGGTCAGACAAGGCACACCAAGGCAAACTCTGCAATTGTGGAGAAGCACAAGCAAGGAGAAGATCACAAATGCCTCCTTCCCACCCACATTGCACTCCTTCCATTACCTTCAGTGCATTTATTTTCTATTAGAAAAAACAGGAAAAAGAACGAAGCCTCCCTCGCTGGCCCGGAGCCAGCACGTGCACGTATGCGTTAGTGTGTTTATATGTGTGTGTTGATGTTTTTGTATATCTGTGTAAGTACGTGTGTGGCAGTGTTTGTTTGAATTAGCATTCTTCCTAGAAAACACCAACGCAATATGCAGACACACCCCATGTAATCAAACATTACATCCGAACACCCCTGCATTCAAACTCAAAAATTATATACAAAACCCCTTCATTCTAACACCAACAAAACACACAAAAGCACACATTACATGCAAACACTACACACAATTACACCACTGCATTCCAATGGCAACAGTACATACAAATACACACTTTCATGCACACACACATACTCTATGTAAAAACATGCTTACATTCAAGCACACCAACACTGCTTACAAGTTCAACACTGGAAGGATGTGCAAATGGTAAATCCCCACCTGGTATAGCACCATGATAGTTTGACAGATGGGAATCTACCCTTTGGCCACCCTTGTTTTCGAGGGAACACAAACATTTTCTTCCACTAGGGCCCTCTCTACATATGTTCTGCCACTGCTTTTTTTGTATATAGTAATTACATATTTGAGCAAATTATCTTGCGTAATCAGCAGGCAGTCACTGGGGATAAAGATCATATAATACACTTCCACTAGGGAGGGACCAGGAGCTGCTGCTGTTCTGCTCTGCTACTTCCAAGATGGCTTCTTGCTTCTCTCTCCTGTGGGCTCTGGAATCCCACCACCTCTTGGTGCTAAGAACCAATGTGGCCTCTGAACAGAGAGGCCAATAGCACTCAGGGGCAGCTGACGGTGCTCCATGAATCACAGCTCAATGGAAATCCCTACTTCCTCACAAGAAGGACCCTGCAGAACTGTACCCTATTACAGAAATAAAGAAACATATCCCGATATTTGGCTGACCACCCTCCCCTCTAGAAAAATAATCTTAGTGTTTCTAAAGTACTGCAAATATTTTTTTCCCACATACAAAACTGCCCCATACGAACGGGCCTCCACTGGTGTGCAGTGAATGAAGGGTGCTGGGACTATATAATTTCTCGTTCTCTCTGGTTACTTACTGCACCCTGCTCAGAGCTCCACTGTCTCCCATACTGCATTCCTTTACAGCCAAACTACAAAACTGGTAGATGGTTGAGGGGGATTCACAACATGTAAGGGAAAGATGTGTTTTTGAAGGGAAAAAAAAAAAGTGGGAGTGAGGTGGGTGCAAAAAAAAAAATATATGTATTTGAAGACTTTTTTTTTTTTTGGTTCCCCAATCCCAATTTTTTTTTTCTTTTTTCATTTTCCATACAGTACACAGAAAAATATATAGAAAGAAAAATATAAACAAACAATATTGCATGGCAACACATTAAGACAAACACCTATGGTTTCTACCATTGCTTTACTTTTTTTTTTCTTACAAATTTTTATATTTCTCACTTATACAACAGGGCACTGGAAATCCAGCATGTAATAAAGAAGAGGCAGATGTTGCGGTTTTCTGTTCTTATTTACGAAAGAAACTGGGTGAAAGAAGTAAAGAGTTTTCAAGCTTCAATATGTGAACTTTAATTTTACATATGTATGCAGCTTTAGGAAACACAGATTCCACTCATTGTTTTACATACAACAATCCATGCTACCTGACTATGTAGTAATCTTTTCTTTTATAGTGTTAATGTTTTTCATAACATTTGCCTAGCATTAACGACTACTTGGCACTTTCCTTACATGTCTCCTTCAATAAAATGCAAGAAACTTGCCTTGAAACTGTATTTACTTGAAAGCATGTCCAGTATTCATTTAAAAAATTTAAAATATTTAAACATGTAGGACTTTATCCTTCACGTGGTCCATAAAGCACCAAGTTTAAGGAAGCCACAATATTTTGCATTACATTTAACCACTTTAAATTCAATGTGATATTCTATTTAACAAACATGTGTTATCGACAATCAAGCAAAAAGTGTTAGAAGTTTGACTTCCAAAGACTTTCACTGCAATTTAGGGACTAGGATTAAAAAAACAAAACAAAAGCACAACTTTGATGAATGCCAATGCAAGGTGTGAAATGAAAACAAGCAGAAACGAATATTTTGGTGTGGGAGTCTCCCTCTCTCACAAAGCTCAGCGTGGTGTGATCTTTTTCTTGTGTGTATTATAGATTGACACCAGATCTGGTATTATGGGACGATTCGGAGAGTAGTATTTTACAGTGTGAAAACCATTAGCTGGTTCTTAAAGGCCCGACAATCGACTTAAATATGGATACATGTAATAGACATGTTAAAATGCAGTATTTTTGGTGTGTCCATTTAAAATGATACCAATACTACACATCAGACTTAGATACTGAGATGTATTTTCACCGCAAAGATTGTTTGGCAAAGTAGACTAGTTTCCATAGTCCAGAGAAGATTTTGCTCAATTTATAGAAAGGCAGTACTCTAGCACAATATTAAACAAAACAAAAGGCATTGATCAGATCGTACACAGTTGTCAGTTATAGGTAACTGCAAAAGTAGGAACAGCCTGTAAACCGTGATTTAGACAAGTCATTTAGTGATATATTATAGAGTTATTCACTAAAGGGAGAATTGTTAGGAATTCAGAGTGAATTTTAAATTTAAGCTTAAGTAACCAAACTGGAAAAATTCTCTAGATTAACTATGCTTTCAGTTTGGTTACTCTGGCATTAAATTGTGAAATTCACTTTGAATTCTTACTTTAGTAAATGACCCTATTAAAAAGACATGGGGTTAAAAGAACACTGTAGGGTCAGGAACACAAACATGTATTCCTGACCCTAAAGTGTTTAACCCACAATTTAGGTGCCTTGCCCTTCCTTAGCCCCGCTATAAAAGTTTAAAACTCACCTTATTTCCAGCGCCGTGTGGGTCCACAGGCACTGGCTCCGCCCCCTTTGTGAAATCAAAACAACCGATTTTTAGTCAATCCAATGGGAAATCATTGGATTGGCGAAAATCGGCATAGGGTGGGACCAAATGCCATTTTTCCAGTCAGGACCTCCTCATAGAGATGCATTGAATCAATGCATCTCTTTGAAGAAAATTCAGCGTCTCCATGCAGAGCGTGGGGATGCTGAACGTCAGGGCTGCTTTTTCAGCAGCATTGACCCAGGAAGCCCCACCAGTGGCCATCTAAGGGGTGGCCACTTGGAGGTGTCCCTAGAAGCAATGTAAACACTGCATTTTCTCTGAAAAGGTAGTGTTTTCATGAAAAAAAGCCTGAAGGGAACTATTATACTCACCAGAACAACTACATTAAGCTGTAGTTCTGGTGAGTATAGTGTCCCTTTAACATTTGTTTAGGTCTGGGTTGGAGTGAATATTATTAAAAACTACTCTCCTAATGCTTTTGTTTTGCAATGCAGATTGTTCAGTGCTGTTAGTGACAGATTTATGTACATATATTTCATAAGGAAGACTAAGGAAGGGTGTGGCTAAGGAGGCAGGATTATGTTGCCACATTCTGAAAAACCATTACTTTTTTGTGTGCAAAAACTATAACAATTTGAACATGCAAAAAAATACAGCATATTAGTGAGACCAAATCAGATGCATTAAAGATGTATTGGTGCCCAGAGTATCCATTTTAAATATGCTTTGCAGGCCAGCTTAAAGGACCACTGTAGTGCCAGGAAAACATACTTGTTTTCCTGGCACTACAGTGCCCTGAGGGTGCCCCCACCCGCCCGGCTCTGGGGAGAGGAAAGGGGTAAAAACGTACCCTTTTCCAGCGCCTGGCGGGGAGCTCTCCTCCTCTGTTCCTCCCATTCGGCTGAATGCACATGCGCGGCAAGAGCTGCGCGCGCATTCAGCCGGTCGCATGGGAAAGCATTTACAATGCTTTCCTATGGACGCTTGCGTGCTCTCACTGTGATTTTCACAGTGAGAATCACGCAAGCGCCTCTAGCGGCTGTCAATGAGACAGCCGCTAGAGGAATTGGAGGAAGGATTAACCCGTTTGTAAACATAGCAGTTTCGTTTATTTAAAAAATGGGTTAATCCTAGCTGGACCTGGCACCCAGACCACTTCATTAAGCTGAAGTGGTCTGGGTGCCTAGAGTGGTCCTTTAATAATTATTATAACTGGTGAGCCTGCAGCTTCATACCCACCTCTTTACACATTCCATATTGTTCAAAAATATCCATTATTCCCACAACTCAAGTAGGATCTATTTTAATTCTTTTTTATATTTAATAGATTCTTAATACAATGGGAAGAAGAGGATACGCAATATAATCATACCACTAAAGCATAGCATTATAGTACATGTGTACTAAAAACAGAACTGCAATGTTTTTGTATTTTTTAAATATTTAGTTAAAATGGTATAAACAATACATGTACTGAAATTACATGAACAAAAAAAAATAGGGGAGTACAAAATCATCATGCAATACAGTGACACCATCAAGTAAACTACAGTACTAGCTAGTAACTGTGTTCCTGTGTGTAGGGGGGCGGGGAAGGATAATTAGACCCTTAAAGATATCAGGACTGCCCATATAATTATGGTTCCAACTAACCCTTGACGTGAAAAGGTTAAAGAAAATGTTTGGACAATTCATGTTTATTGTACATTAATATTCTAGAGTTCTGTTCTATGCCTTTATTCTATGTACAGTGCTTGATAAAAATGATTTAAAACATAATTTAAACTACAAGAATACATGAATGTGATCTGTTTATACATTACATTTATCAACAGCAATGAAATGTGACTGACACTAAAGTGTTGTTTTGGAAAATGAGAATGCAAAATGATTTTTAATTTAAGGTCAAAATAAAGCAACTGGAAAAATTCTCAGATATTTTTCAGCTTGGCCATCAAGCCTTAAAATTGTAAATTCTCTTTAAATCTATACTTTAGTAAATAATCGTTTAAAGATTAGATTTGTCTGAAATGCAAGCTTAAAGCTAGCTTATTATACACTTCTGTTGTTAAAGTTAGTTCCCCATACTTCCTGCATTTGCTATTGATGTTCTTATCCATAATTTACACAATATTGCTTAATACCATATAGCCATACAAATGTGTAAACATTTATCAATAAAGATAATGAACAAAGACAGTTTAGAATAATATATAAACACACATACACACCAATATCTATATATACACATATATACATTGAAATATAATACAAGCACACACTTGTCTATTGTCGCATTATGTTCTATGTACAATGAAAGTGCTTTATGTAATCTACATCTTGTTTTTTAACACAACTACCAAAATACACAAGGTTGGTAAAATACCACAGATTTGCAATCAGCATAACATACATCTGTATGCATTTCAAAATGAGGTGTAGCAGCTTACAGGTGTTTGTTTATAATTTACAAATAAATAATAAAAATACAGAAGTGAGCCTGCTCCAGACTAGCAAGAAAAAAATAAAAAATAAAAATCGAATGTACCCAAGCTACTTAAGCAACGCTAACAAAACGGTGAAGCTGTGGGGTCAAATGTCTTAAAGACCTCTTTTAAGGACTTGTCTTCTGGCTCCACGTCTGCATTGTCAGCTTGCACTTGATTTGTCTGTCCTGTTTTTACTTGCCTTGGCTCATTGTAATGTGATCGCATGAGTCCAGTTAAAGCCTGAATTGGCAGGTTATGAACTGCTGGTGTGGTGGCTGCTTGTGATAGGACAGGCGGTGCAGGAACTATTTTTTCAGTTGCATCATCAGATTCTTTTTCTTTACTTTCCTCTGAAATCTGGGTGTTTGATTGCAATGGTACTTCGACATCTTTACATTGTTGCAAATTGTCTATCTGTTCAGCATCATTTTTGCACGGCTTGTCAGAATGTACAGTGGTTTTCTGGTAATCGCCATTTTCTCCTGCACTGACTGGACCAGAATCTAAATTAGGTGTATTATCCCTTGGATCATACAAACTGATATTTTTCAGGATGGAGACTGGAGCTCCTACTCGAACATTTGAAGAAGACAGTTTGGAGGCATAAGGAGGTAAGCTGGGGAACTCATGTTCAGATTTAATTGGAACAGGTGGTGGTGACAAACCAGTTCCTGATCGAGCAGCCCCGTGAGTATATACTTTCACTGAAGCAGAATCTTTCAGAATACCAGGTTGGCTATCTGTGCTGGATGTTCTGTGAAGCCTCATATTAAGATTTTTTTGCAGCCGAGGATCCCCCAGTTTGTTACTGATAACATGTGATTCTGTTTGTTCTGGAAAACTACTTCTAACAGGGACACCTGCCTGCTTAACTTTTGTTTCTAGTCTTGGATCTTGCCGTTCTAATCTTGGATCGACAGCAGAGTGATGCAATTCACTTGCTAGATTTCTTGATTTATTAAGCCTTTGGTCGGCTATAAGTGGAGGCAATGGTAAGTTGATGGATGAAACCGGATCTGGTTTAGGTGGCGGTACTGGTAATAAATCTTCAGGTGCCCACACAATCAGTTTTGCAAAGTTTGGCTTGGCCAGTAAAATATCCATTTTAATGTGACTAAATTGTCGAAGTTTACATCGGGGGTCTCTTAAACTTATGCCAGGTGGCATTTCTAAAGGTATTAGAACAGCTTTCTCCCTCAGTTCTCTTTCTAAATCTTCTTCCTCGTCATCAACTCCTTTCTGCTTTACTTTTCCTGCAGGTTGTGCAAGAGGAGTATCAGATCTCACACTACTACTACTACTACATGGTGAGATCTCAACAGGTTTAATTTTTCTAGGGTCACGGACAACTCTTGGATCAGTGCTAACGGTTTCTCCAGGACTCCTAAGATTTTGTGTTTGAGGGGGTTTTATTCTGGGATCAGTAGTTTGCATTCCTGTAACCCTATCTTTTGCTAGTCTGGGATCAAATTGTGGAGCACTAACTTGCTGTTCAGTTGAATTATTTCTTGCAAGTTTTGCTTGATTTCGTAATGTTTTTAAGATTGAAGACACACCGCTCCCATCTTCTTCCTCACTGCTTGTGTACCAGTTTGCAATATCATCTGAAAAAAATAAAAAGTCAGATTATCAAAACAAACAAAAAAAACACAAAAAAACTTCAAAACACTAAACCACAAAAAACAATACCCTATAAGATATTGAAGCCTCAATAAGAAGAATCCATGGTTTTTAAAGGATTTAAAGCTGACAGACAGACACACCACATGGATACTGATACATTCACACACATTTTCTTATATACAAATTATAACATTTTTATTTTAGTTTTGGTCCACCTAGCCTCCCCACCTTTGCGGCTGCTGAAATTTTCAAACTCTTCTTGCTCTGCTATCTTGCATGCTGTTTATTGATGCCCGGACCGGAGTGATGTTGTATTCCGTCTTCAGGCATCATTGCCGCGTGCACGAGGGAGCAGAGGAAGATTACATCAACCTCACCGTCCACCTCCACCGTGTGGTTGCTGATTCCACAGCCACTGACCGGGCTGACAAACACCCAGACGTCAGGAAAAAATTCCTAGTCCGAATGGTGACCAGGGATTTTTTGTGCCCTGCGTAGCTGCTATCAATGTACAGAGAAGCTAAACTCATTCTGTGGAGCTGCAGCTAACGGATAAACAACTTCTCAAAAACACATGCTGGAGAGGAGTTTATGAGTTAAGATTAAGACCCCGGATCAGAATTAGAGGTTCTTAATTAGAGAAGACTTTCCTGATCACAGAGGGGTCTGTCCCTAACTGCAGAATATCTATTTAAGCTTTGCTGATGCACAATTTTGGTGGAGAGCAACTATACTTTCTATTTTCTTTCCCCATTTTAATGCATTATCTATAAAGTGCATAATAAAAACCAAGGTAACCAATCCTTACTTGTTCCCCTTAGGAAATTTAACGCCTAATATATAAAACCTTTAAAAGCAAATTCTTTACGTACTTTGCATCTCACTTAATTTATAAACCTTTACAACATACTACAGGTTCAGTTACAAAACAAAATTCCCTTCATGAAGAAAATGTTAAAAGTCTAGAGATGCAAATAAGTGACACATACCTTCCTCCTTGCTTGTAGACCTTGGCAGTGGATTCATATTAGCTTCTCCCATGTCAAGATTTTTTCCAATTCTTGAAAATAAAACATTATGCATTGCTGAAAGAAGAAGGAAGGGAAAAAATAAATAAAGTTACATTGGAAGATTATAACACAAATTATTATTCACTCAAGGTTCACTGCCCTACACAAATTCATTTTTTTGACCACCATAGACTGTGTGGTGTATAATTATGCACCAATGACACTCCAGATTTGCTCATCTAACCTTGTGCAAGCATTTACATGGTACATGCATTCTTAACTGGATTTTATTTGAGGAAAAAAACAAAACAAATAGAGAGATTTAGTTACTCTAAGGAAGAGCAATTTCTAACAGAATGATGCCCATATCTTCAGCATAAGACACGTGATACTGGTGTAAATATGGAACATGTTATGTAATTTCAAAAAAGTCTGTTAACACAACCAAGGTTGTACTGGTTATGATGCTGTAGAAGCTGTCCCTGCAAATCTTTCAGATGTTTACAATTTTCTAATACAGGGCTGGCACCCATATTTTACCAGTCTTCCCAATTCATGAGGAAGAACTCGTTCCATGGAAGTCAACCTGTTGAACCTGAAGAAGCTATGTTGGGAGCACCCTGCTTTGAACCTATCTTAGAGCACTGTGCATGCATGAACTCAAAGCAACCATGCAGGGAACAGTGCCGCTTGTGTATGAACTCGCTCACAGCTCAGCTCTTAAAGTTTCAGGACCGACTTGCACAGAATTTAGTCTACGCACCAGAGATTTAATAAAGAAGAAAAAAAAATGCCTCACAGCTTCTTAGATTTATAAAACAAAACAAAAAAAAACCAAAAAAAAAACCACAACACTACTTACATTCAGCAGGGTTCGAAGGTTGAACATTATGAACGGCTTGCTGTGAATAATAGTTATCATAGAATGCAGGTTGATTCTGCATAGTCTGATAGCTGTTCTGAGATTGCATAACATGATGTGTGTCATCTGCATTCTGAAGAAAGGGAGGGCCTGGCAAACTGTGACCATCTCTGTGGTTGTTTCCCATATGGCCTGGCATTCCAGAAGTACCAAATGGTGCATTCATTACAGGCATATTTGGGCTACAATACCCAGCAGCAGTTTGTATTGGTGGACTTGTAGTCACAGGCAAAACATTGGATGGTGGTTCTGGAAGTGGTTCAGAGTTGTACATTGATGGGGGATTGCCTTGGAATTGCATTCCCATGTATGGAGAGTTGTAAAACTTTGCTCTGCATGAAAGTGACAAAATACAGGAGATATTAAAGATATTTTTCAGTTTTAGCCCGTCATCCTACATTAACCTTTATTTTATATTAAAACCGTAAAATACGACAAGATAATGTTTTCAAGTCCTTTGCTGCAAAGTGGATTCCATCATACAAAAATATTAAAAAAATGTAATGCATGATGTGACTGACATTGTGCGGTACAATTCTCTCCTCTAAAGTATCTCCAAATGGGCTGAATTTAGGACAGCAACCAATAATAGAAGTAGCTGCCCTACAGTGCAAACAGTGTAGCATTAGCTATAATACAAACCAAAGAAGCATTTATAAAAAGGTACAATCATGTCATCTCAGGGTTATGAAAACATTCTAAAACCACTCTAGAGCTTTGGCTTCTGGTTTATTATGATGCCTCCAGGACCTTTTGCTGACATTACACACACATTCATACATATCTATGTTCTTCCTTCACTTAGATTTACATTACATGTAAGTCCGTGAAGATTCGGCTTGCCATACCAAGTAAATAACTGGTATACCATGATCCTGGCATTCCATCACAGCAAACTTGTACTGGAAGCCAACACCCAGATGTGCGGTGGTGGAAAATGTATCTTTCACCTCTTTGCACCGCACACCTCACTTCAATTACTTAAGCGTTTATTGAAATAAACGAAAACAGACATCGCCAGTTAAATTATGAAAGTTCCTTTTTACATTATGTACATTTTATCCATCTATAGAGAAGACCTTACAACAGTGGTTGCCAATCCAGTTCCTGAAGGAATACCGAATGTCCTTGTTTGTCAGTGTCCTCAGTGGAAAAGAATTTGAAAATCCCTAAATCCTCAGCTGCTGTTGTGGCTTGATGACTGGATAGGGAATCAATTATTGTAAACCGGTATGATGTTAGCTGAAACGTTACTTGTTGAAGGCTTTTGTAAATCCTAAACCAGGGTGCACACATACCTGCATTTTGAACATCATGTCGGTGTTTGTCATTGAAGCAACTTAAGTACATGGGTTTAATAAAACACTGAGTTTGTTTGCATCCTATATATTGCCCAATGACATTTGCACTGTAGCAGTAAGTTAATTTTCTGTGGCTTACTTTAAGAGTGCAGAGTGGCAACAGAAGCCCATACAGGCAAATTATGCTGTACAAATAATTTCCACTTGTAAAAAGATATACTGGATACATCCACCATATATACGAATTATATACTGGATATATTGGAATATCGCTCCCAAGAGAAAATTAGGTTGTAGCATTACTGGAAATAAAAAGGCACCTACCCATGTCGTCGCATGTTGTCCATGTCGTTTTCTTCTTCATGCTGTGGCTCTTCTTCCATTTTTAAATGCTGCATTAAAATATATAAAAGGCATATATTAAACATAACTGGATTTTATTAGCAATTAAAGAAGTGCTTATACGGATTACTTAATAAAAATACCAAAATGCTTAAAAGGAACACATACGTTAGGAAAACAAAAAAAGTTAAGAGTGATGTTAGGGCTACTTTTTTTATTTCATTATTAATTACACAACCAGGAAGCACATCTTGGGTCTGTCAAGAGTGAAAGCCACTACGGGTGGCATTAGGTAGCAATGTAATCACTGCTGAGACTATAGGGGCAGGCACTTTAAAACACCAGAACCACTGCAGCTTAATGTAACGATTCTTGGGCCTTTAAAAGGTTTACAGCATTTTGTTCAGTTTAGAATATATATATATATATATATATATATATATATATATATATATATATAATAGTTTACAATTGGACATAAGTGATAAATGCACAAAACATTAATAAGCAAGATAAATGCTATTATGTTACTTTTCATGTCAGATGCTAGTTCCACCAGAGCAGTAAACATTAAAAGATTACCTTATGCAATAATTCCCTCATGTCGTCAGTCAATTGCTCATGTGAAAACTTGCAGTTATCTCCTTGGTAGCATTTCACTCCTGTATGGTAAAACTTGCATGGAAATTCATGTATATAGCCATTAAGGATTTAAGAAACCATAGCAACCCATAACCATTTGTAAAACAGGACAAAAGGCTCTGATACTCAGAAGCTTGTTTTTGCTCATTACAGACACATAGCAAATGCTGCACTCATGTGTGGAGTATGCTTAGGACAACTTTCAGGTTCTTGAAGGCTAACGCTATATTGAGAGAGTATGCCCTATCCAGGAGTCCAATCACTACAGTGTAGTAAAGCTGTACCAATACATACTAGCAGTGACAGAGCCTATATTTAGAAAATATCAATATTAAACATAAAAAGGACACTACAGGCACCAAAACAACTTTAGTTTAAAGGAGAGGGTTTTTTTTGTGCATAGATCATGCCCCTGCAATCTCACTGCTCAATTCTCTGCCATTTATCAATTAATTCATTTTATGAACCCTTAGTCACATTTCCCTTACATGTGACCTGCACAGTCTCACTACATATTTCCTATAAATAGGGATGCCTGCACGTTCTGTTGCACTACTTTCTATTTACCTGTTCTGTTTTATCTATAAATAGGGATAACATGTTTAAAATTTTCTTTATTGCGCATTGTGTTTAATGTAGAATTTCTTATCTTCTGATCTATTAATAGTATGCAAAAACCTGCAGTAGCCTCATTGCGTGATTACAGTTTACTTACCAGAGCAGGAGTTAAAACTTCTAAAGTGAACACACTTTGATGGAAAATGAAACAATTCTTTTTCATTCTGGCTGTACAAGTCATTGGGGGTGTGGCTAGTGATTTAATTGCTAAATGACAAAATGGAATAGTGGAACGGCAGGGGCATAATTTATACACAAAATCTGCTTAATTATGCTAAAGTTTTGTTGGTGCATAAAGTATCCCTTTAAAGGGAAATTCTAAATACTCCCTTTTAATGGCAAACAAAATGTAGATAATCTGGTCATAAGGTGCCCATCTTGGTTTTCATGAAAGGTAATATTTAATATTTAAAAATGTTGCTCTATTTCCTTGACCAATATTTTGTTTCCTCACACAGATAAACACAGCAAGCAAACAAATCGATACCTATATACTGTATCAAGCAGGCAATAACCAACCAGCCTCTGCGTAGGCGACAAAAAGCTCACAAATGTCTGTATGGAAAACGTATGCCCCTGCGCGGGCAACCAATACCTCAATACTCGCACTGATGTTACCTGCGAATGCATTACGATAACAATGGAGAAAATAAACAAACTCAATAATACATGCAGACCCTAACAGACACAACAGAAAGCCAAAAACTTCTAACACACGCAAAACACGCAGGGACCTACCGAGCACAACAACTACATGATGAGGTCCAAACACATATTATATATTAATGCACAGCTGCCTAAAAACAAATATGCTCCTTATGTTTAAAGTTGGAAAAGCTTCTATATTTTTGATTATTGCTTAATGACCGCATCTAACTAGCAAGCGGATTAACCTGCCTCAGCACAGGCGACAATTCTGCATCTCCTAACCAGCAAACACACAACACTTGCACACACCAGCTAACACAATACACTTATTTAACGCTCCAACCGAACTACAAAGGCTACACAGTACATAAACGTATAGAGCACAAAGCAACTGACTGTGAATAAATAATAATAATAAAAAAAAAAAGTTAAGCTAAACAGGCTAAGACGGATCTGCCTCTGCGCAGGCAACCAAAGGTATATACTGTGCTAAACCAATGCTTAAGCCCCTGCGTGGGCAATCACTTGCTTTATTACAAATCAGTTTGACGTATGAACTTATGTTATGCATACAATAAAAATATTCAAAACAATATTTTGTTTCCAATTACTACTGTGCCTAACCAGTATATACTTAGAGCTTTACCAGCAAAGAGCAAGTTGTATTCATTTCATTAAAGCTGCTACAGATAAAAGCAGCCATTTTAGAATAAAGCATTTATTCCTAAGGGCTTGAATAGGGTGTTTCAATTTCATTAAATTAACAATCGAACATAGGAACTCTAGTAAAAGGATATTGTGCATGTAAAGGCAGTTCTCTCCTTTGGTACAGTATCCCAATATATAAAACTTGCAGATTTCTTTTTTCTTTTCAATTTCTGCGTCGTGATCAAATTTACACTGGTCTCCCTGGAGAAAGAGAAGAGGATTAAAACACCTGTAAACATTTTTTTGTTAAATAGCAGTCCTGGGCCCCAGCTGTTGCAGCACTGCAATGCCATGACATTTGCCAACCATAAAACTTTCACAGTCTTAAAGGACCACTATGGTGCCAGGAAAACATACTCGTTTTCCTGGCACTATAGTGCCCTGAGGGTGCCCCCACCCCCTCAGGGTCCCACTTCCATGGCGCTGAGACTCTCCTCCCTCTTCTGACGTCACCCGCTGAATGCGCATGCGCGGCAAGAGCCGCGCACGCATTCAGCCAGTCCATAGGAAAGCATTCTCAATGCTTTCCTATGGACGCTGGCGTCTTCTCACTGTGATCGCGGAAGTGCCTCTAGCGGCTGTCAATGAGATAGCCACTAGAGGCTGGATTAAACCATAGGTAAACATAGCAGTTTCTATGAAACTGCTATGTTCACAGAAAAAAGGGTTAAACCTAGCTGGACATGGCACCCAGACCACTTCATTAAGCTGAAGTGGTCTGGGTGCCTATAGTGGTCCTTTAAATTAGAATGGATTTAGGAGTTTTTAACAAACATCCAAAACACTTCTGTGTGTAAAGTGGAATACCCTGTACGCACAGTTTGATCGAAAACCCCCCAAAAAGAATAAACCAATACATTGTTCTGGTAAATTTTGCCACAGCAACAAATTCAAATCCATTACCCCCTAAGTATACCATATCTATAAAGAATATCAGAAATGGTATAATGCAGTTAATATCACATGTCCTTATATTTTCACTAAGACAGTAGTAATAGTTGCAACCGGTAAATAAAAAAAAAAAATGTATCCAGTCACAACTATGACAAAAATACAAAATAATAGAAAAACAACTTGTGAAATAAAGTCCTATATAAAAACTCCAAAGGAAACCTAATGTGATCAGACAGATACCTTGGTACTGCATAGTTCGCGTATAGTGTAACGCGAACAATCAATCCCACAGCTACTAGTTTCAGGTCTAATAACACCATGGGCGTGTGTGTCCTTCCTTGCAGTTTGTTAGGGACCCAGAGCATGCTGCACTCACCATACAAGGAGTATTTGAGGTGGGAAAGTTTGGTAAGGAATGCTCTAAAGCACTAAACAAACCTGCTTAATAAAAAGGAGTTTATGTGTACAGATGAAAAAAAAAATGTCTTTCTAGGCAAAATACTGCTACAGGTGGTTCTGTCTATCAGGCGGGACTAAAGTAAGAACTCGAAGTGAATTTCAAATTTAAGGCCAAAGTAGCCAAACTGGAAGCATAACCGACTTTGAGAATGCTTGAAATTTACTTTCAATTCTCACCTTGTGAATAACCCCGAAACCTAAAACTTCCTGGATTCAGGGAGTAGGTGTTACGGATTTCCCCCCAAGTAACCAAGCCAAACGTTTAAAATCGATAGCAATAGGTTGCTGTGTTTTTTTTTTTCAATGTGACAAGATTTAGAAGTGCAATGTGTTTGATAGGTTTTAAAAAATTTACATAAAGTGTTATGAAAGAATTAAAACTACAGTGATGGAAAACAAAGTAAAAGAGTACAATTATGCAGGCTATATAAATAGCTAGAACCGATTTTATACAGAAATAATGGTGGTTACTACTATTTTATACTACTTTAGGGGGTCATGTATGTACTAAACCTTCAACTGGCTAATCATGGTGGGACCAGACTAAGTAGCACAGCCAAGCATACAGAATACAGTATTTCCACCAGACTGCTGAGACAATGGTTTGGATATGATAGCCATTAATACTTGCAAAAAGGGAATATTCAATTATATAATTTTTCAATGTAGGGTAATAGCTTCTTGATCCAAGGATTAATCTGACTGCCATTCTGGGGACAAGAAGGAATTTTTTCCTAGTTTGTTGCAAAATTGGAAGTGCTTCAAACTGGGTTTTTTTGCCTTCTTTTGGAGCAACAGCAAAAACAAACATGAGGAAGGCTGAACTTGATTGATGCAAGTTTCTTTTCAGCTTTGTAACTATGTAATTAATGATTATAAGTTTAGCGATTGTTTGCCCCAATTAAATGATCAGCAAATGCAATAAATCATTACATTTAATAGATGGACACAAATAACCAATATGGGTATTTGTTTTAATGGATTCAAAAAAATGGAGAAAAAGAAAACAAAAATCTCAGGGAGAGCAAGCAAATTCCTATTAAGACTTAATATTTTAATATAGTAAGTTAAAAAATAAGTATAAAGTGTATAGCAAAAATAGTAAAAACATATAGTGAAAACAGATAGGATGTGTAAATCTGTAGAGGGCTATGGTCTAGAGAAATAGATCATGATACAGTTTGTAAAATAGGAGTGAACTGCAGTATGGTCCCTGTTATTACACTATATTTCGGTTAAATACCTATATATCTTTTGGTATATTCCTGCAGCTCCTATCGCTTATCAGACAAAGGAGAGATGTGTAGTTCATATGTGTAGACTAAGGAGTAGTGTAAGAAACCTGTTCGCCTATAAGTGGAGGCAACTGTGCCTTCGAGGGCACCCCTTAACCCAAATTCTACTCTCTCTCAGTTATAACGAGTACCCAGACCACCCAGAATTAAAAGTTAAATCTTAAGAATTTGCTTGCTCTCCCTTAGGCAGATTACAATCTGAGATTTTTTTTTCTTTTTCTCTGTTTTTTAAACTTATCAATCAGGGGTTACCCCCCATTCCCCATTATAAATCTCTAGTAATCTGTCTCCATTTCTATTTACATACTGGCTCTACTATTTATTTTCATTTATTTTCCCTTGATTTGTTTTAATGGATAACTAAACTGCAATACATTTTAAAATTAAATATTGCTAGCAATTAAGAAAACATAGGCATGAGCTTAGTAAGTTAGTATACAGGGTGTCCAGTGTGCATTATTGGTCCACTCACATTTTCAACTAGAAAATATACATCATAGCATCCAAAACAAGTCTCAGGATACAAGGACAACAGTCATCGTCAACCTGACTCAAGCAATGGTTTATGTAAATAAAGAATTTTAGTGACTGGCCTGTAATTGGCTTCAATACACAAATACATTAACATAGTACAGCCATCTGAACCTCACCACTACTGTTCCAGTTATTTTGGAGATTTTTGTTGTTTAGGTCTGTGATGAGAAGAAAAGATTTTAGAGAAAGTCCCATATGTTGAGAGAGGAATATCACTTGTAAATAGTCTATGTATTTCACAATGCATATGTCTCATCACAGACCTAAACAACAAAAATCTCCAAAATAACTGGAACAGTAGTGGTGAGGTTCAGATGGCTGTACTATGTTAATGTATTTGTGTATTGAAGCCAATATATATATACATACATACATACATATACACAAATCACCCTTTGATATCTTGTGTTTTGGCCTAGGCTAGTAACACAATTCATATTATTAGTTTACCTTAATACACCTCTTCTCCAAGAAGTATTTGCAGATTTGTTTTCCCTTGTGTTCCACTGTATGCTGATTAATAAACTCTTGACTCATAGTAACCCATTTTTTAACAGGTTTATTGTCCTATAATAAAAAAATAGAAATAGAGGAGTTAGGTACCAAAACACATCTCTAAATTTAGGGTACATATACATATATTTTTTAATATTATATACACTGAACAAAATTATAAAGGCAACACTTTTATTGCATTAGAGTGGCCTTTTATTGTGGCCAGCCTAAGGCACACCTTTGCAATAATCATGCTGTCTAATAAGCATCTTGATAATACATCCACCTCACAGGTGTGGCATATCTCAGTAAAGGAGAAGTGCTCACTAACACAGATTTATGAACAATATTTGAGAGAAATTGGCCTTTTGTGTACATAGACAAAGTCTTAGATCTTTGAGTTCAGCTCAGGAAAACTGGGGGCAAAAACAAAAGAGGCTGCACTCACCTGAAAATACATATATTATATACAAGATCCCGAGTGCACTGGATCTTATATGTTATATTTTCTCTCACACAAATTCATTGCCCCTTTAATTTCCCCCTTCACTCTGACACTTCCTACCGTCTAGTTCTGTTCCTTTCCACACACTCATCAATCTTCATGAGTAATGGCTGTCAGATACTAAAGACAACTGGTAAGAAACTTTTTTGGCCAAGGCAAACTTGAACAAGCAAACTTTAAGACAAAAGTATTTATTTATTGTACATTCATCACCACCAAACGTCTTTTGTACTGCTCTTTTAATTAGGTCTTATTTCAGTCTTCATGGCTCACAGTTTTTTTGCCAAATAAAACCAGTACCATGAACAAACCTAGTATTGTGGCTAAAGACAACCCCCACTTACACTATTATGGGGCATTAATCATTCAAACTATCTAAAAGAGGACACAGGAAAGGCCAAAACATTTTTTTAAATAATTTTAATATTAATAGTTAAAAGCAGCACTGTCACCCCATCTATGAAAAAAAAGGAGCATTTCAAAAAGATAGAATCACTGAAATTTCAACCAGTCAAGAGATCCACCTGACTTTCTTAGACTTGGAGTCTAAGTGTCAATCCCAACAGCAGTCACTAGTGATGGCTGCAGGGAATTGGCTGAGTCTATGGAGTATCGCACAGTCTCATGGGATCCTGCATATACCTCCATGCTGCAGTCGAACGCATGCAAAAGAGTACAGCAGTGATGTAGGAGCAGCCTGAACAAGATGGCTGCGCCTTTAAAAAAAAATTAAAAAAAAATGTATCTTTAACAAGATGGCCGTGCTTTAAGACTGATCTTGTCCACAGAGTTAAATATATAAAAAAAAATAATAATTTGCTTTGAACCGGTGGTGATGCCTAAATAAAAACATAATGTTTCTTCAGCATTTAAAGGCCAGTTTGCCCACCTCTTGAAATCCATCTTGATAGTAAGTGTTTGGTCCCTTATGAGCACCTCTTCCTCTTCCACGATCCTTCATATTCATCTTCTTCTGTGCACCACGACCTCTCCCATAATAAAAGCCCTTACCTTGCTGATCAAGTCCTAAAATAATAAATCACTACATTTAACATATGGCACCATTTAAGACACTCTTAGAGTATTAAGGACATTTAAAAATAATTAAAAAGCAAATTCAGTTTGACCAGGAACAATACAGAATAACATCCTTTAAAAATATATAAGATGACACTAGTAATCAAGAAATTAGATCTGTGTTAATATTGGTCTTCAAAATATAGCAAAAAGAGCTAAGCTGGCTTACACTTGGCATCAACTCTTCCAGGAGTCTTCAGATTTCAGTCAGCAAACTACTTTGTCTTATTTAGCATATAGTGCCTACCATTCTGAGAATGATCCTTCACCAATGACAATCACGGTCTCAATGTACAATTCCTTTCTAGATTGTAAACAATCAACAACCCTAACTGCCATGATGCCTCTCTAGAACCTCCTCCATTGGACTCACACAGTGGTCTAATTCATCCACTCATCGAGCAGGAAACACTTTTGACCTCATATTCACCAATCTCCATACCACCTCTAATCTCTCCAATGTTCCTTTTCTTCTACCTGACCACCATCTGCTGTCCATTGACATCCGCATACCCCGTACCCAAAGTACACCACCCTCACCATATTAGTCTGGCAGAAACCTCCATTGTCTTGACCTACAGCAATTCTCCACCAACCTCCAAAGTCTCCTTTCACCCACTCCAACTCCACTCTCGCCTCTCAACTAGACACTACGGCACCTCCTACACTTAAACGCACTAAGTGCCCCCAATTACAACCCTGGCACACCAAGCTGATCCAATACCTCCACAAATGTTTCAGAACTGCTGAACGCTGCTGGAGAAAGTCTCACTCTGTGTCTAACTTCCTCCACTATAAATTTATGCTGCACTTCTACAGTCTGGCTCTTTCCTCTTCAAAAGAGGAAACTATTTCAATACACTCATAACCACACTCTCCCGCAAGCCCAAAATGTTTCATGCTTTTAACTCCCTTCTGCGCCCGGTCGTGCCTCCTACCAACTTGACAGCCACAAACTTTGCGACTCATTTCACTGAGAATATTTCTGCAATTAGGGAAGAGATCTCCCATCTCTCTCCATCCACTACCAACTTTTCCCCTAATCACACTCCCTCAGCTGTCTTATGCTCATTTGCACCCGCTACAGTAGAAGAGGTTTCTGCCCAGCTCTGTTCCTCCCACCCCACCATCTGTTCCCTCGATCCTATTCCTTCGTATCTCATACGCACTTTGTCTCCTTCTCTTGTTCTGCCTCACTAAAAAAATTAAATCTCTCCTCTGGCACATTTTCTCTACCCTTCAAACATGTAACCGTAACCCTGATTCTGAAAAAGCCCACCTTTGACCCTAATTCCCCGTCCAACTACTGCCGTTTGTTTTCAAGATCCTTGAGAGAGTTGTGTATGCGAGATTGACAGACTTCCTTGAATCAAACTCTCTGCTTGACCCGCTTAAATCTGGATTCCACGCTCGTCACTCTGTTGAAACAGCTGTGACCAAAATATCCAATGATCTTATCACTGCAAAATCCCATGGCCAATACTCTATCCTATTCTCCTCGGCCTTTCTGCTGCTTTTGACACGGTTGATCATCAACAGCTTCTTCTCATCCTCTGTAATCTCGGTCTACAAGATACCGCTCTCTCCTGGAGCTCTTTCCATCTGGATGGCTGCTCATTTCCTTTAACTGAACCTGTCCAAAACAAAACTTCTGGTCTTCCCTCCCTCAAGGGTTGCTACTCCCTTGTCTGTGTCCCTCCAAGTCGATGGTGCTACCATCCGCTCTACCTCTAAGGCTCGCTGCCAAGGTGTTCTCTTTGACTCCGACCTCTCCTTCACCCCTCATGTCCAATCAATTGCCAAATCCTGCCGCTTCCATCACACAAATATCGTGTGCATCTGTCTATTAAACGCCTGACACGGCAATGGTGCTTCTCCATGTCGCTGTCCTCTCTCGCCTTGACTACTGTAATTTGCTTCTCAGTGGTCTTACGTGTTCCCAACTTGCCCCGTTACAGTCAATAATGAATGCAGCAAGGATCATCTTTCTTTCTGCCCGCACCTCCCCCCAATGTCAGTCCCTACATTGGCTTCCCGTAAGATTTAGGACTCAATTTAAGATCCTGATTCTTGCCTACAAATCTCTACACAATGCTGCTCCAACCTACTTAGCCTCACAAATACACAAATATGTCCCGTCTAGGCCCGTACGCTTTGCCGGAAACCTATATCTAACCTCTGTTTGAACTACTACCTCTGAGGCTCACCTTAAGTACCAAACTTCAGGAATAAAAGGGAATCATGACATGTCACACATGTCATGTGTCCTTAAGGGGTTAAAGACTTCTCTAAGGCTGCACCATTCCTATGGAATGCTCTTCCCCTCTTGGTTACACTTTCACCCAATCTCCACTACTTAAAAAAAAAAAAATATCTTTGAAAATGTATTTGTTTAGGAAAGCATATTAAACTGAACAGCTTTCCCTCCTGAAACGATTCCTCTCATAAAAACAAAATACTAAACCCTCAATGAACAATATCCTAGCAACCTACTTTTCTACCCTAGCCTTACCTTTTGTGTCACTTTACCCCACTCTCTCTAGCATGTAAGCTCATTGAGTAGGGCCCTCAATCCCTCTGTTCTTGTGTGTCTAACTCATCTGGTTACAAATACTTGTCTGTTAGTCCACACATAGTACAACACTACGGAACTTGTTGGCGCTTTATAAATAATAAACAACTCACAACAAGGGCCATCTTCTACTTTTGTTTCAGTTTGTCTAATTAACCCGTTTATATACGTACCAGTTATTTCTGCATGAATTGTAAAGTGCTCTGGTTAAGAGCACTATATAAGAACTACAGTATAATAATGCCTTTATATGAAACTTCACCTTTAGCAATCATTCCCTGGCGCTGTTCCACGTTACAGTACTGTAGGCCTTTATTCACACTGTGGAGATAACCTTCCCCTGTATCCTAGTTGCCATTACTTCAGTGTGTAATAAAGTGTTCATAAATGTTTGGTTTTTTTAAAGTGCATATGACAGACCGATTACATTTAATTTGTGGCACAAAGTCATCCCTTACACTAGCATGCGTATAAAGTTTGTATTTTACACTGCTCTTAAATTTTTTTTTAGATTTACTACGATTTGATATACAAAGTCCGATTTGTGGAAATCCATACTCCTGTAGCTAAAAATACACCTTAAACCTTGCCATTAATATATTCTATTTATTTCACTTTTATATGTTAACTTTTGAAAGATCAAAAGGAAAAAAAAAAAAAATTAAAAAGAATCCTGTTTTACGGTCCAATTATTAAACAGTTACCTTGCTGAATTCCTTTTGTACAGGGGTTCTTAAAAGGGGGTTCAGAGGTGTTTGAACTTTCCTTAGCTTGTCGATAGTGTTTAAGCTGTTCAGCGAAATCATCCTCTTCATCGTTATAGTCGTCATCACTATAGTTTCCATAATCATCATACTCATTCATAATCTTCTTCCTCTTTGCTTTAGGAGACGTGTAGTTTCCTAAAAAAGGTGGAGGCTAAAATAAAAATAGTCATAAATATATATATTAAAAAGGAAAAAAAAACAAACAAACAAACAAAAAAAATGATGTAAAAAAATGCAGACTGCTAAATGCATAATACACATTGTACATTTAAGTTTAACAAATCAACAGCTGATTAATAAAGGTTATAGCCATTCTAACATCATGGAAGTACAAAAGACCTGAATGAAACTCCTTTTTTGCATGAGGACTTTCAGCGTCAGCTAGAACTCAATAGGAAAGCATTGGTTCAGTGCCATCCTATGGGGAAGTCTTAATGCGATTGCCACTATGCGCATTAGGCCCCACCCCCATTGGTGGAGGAGGGGCCGAACCTAGCGCAGATGAAATCAAGTAAGTGACAAAAGGGTTTTTAACCCATCCAGTACTGGGAGAGAGGGGTCTGCACCCAGACCACTTCACTGATATAAAGTGGTCTAGATGACTTCAGTAACCCTTTAAGGACACGAGCAATCTTGGCATTTTGCCGTGTGTGTGTGTTCAACTGCAATGTTCTTCGTTCTCATTTATTGCACCAACACATATCATGCACGGTTTTCTAAATGTCTATAGTTAGATCATGGTGTAAGCAGGGTTTTATCCTTGCTAAAACTGGGGTGATCCGGGTATCACTCGATAGCTAGGGCTCCACTCTGTAAGCTTGGGTCATGTTTTGAAGACGCCAGATTGACCAATTAGCTGAAGTAGCGTGGTAGAGAGCACTTTAAATTCATTCAGAACACCATGGCTGAGCAATGGCACTGCGTGGCCTTCAAATTACATTTTCCAAAGTAAGATCATTTCACTTATTTTTCAGCTTATCTGTATTTTTGCATTATTTGGAGCTTAAAAAGAGAGTATACCTGCCACTGGAATATAGACAAAAATCTGTTTTATAGTAATAGAGGGTCTCCCTGTATGTCCATAAGACAACTATGATTGGTGCTGGGCTTTGCCAGCTGCCTAGCAATGGTCAAAGCACGAAATCGTGCTTCATTCAGTAATACAGGAAAATCATCCGGTAATACTGAAAAAAAGTCAGTAGATGGCTGCAGTACAATTATAATTACTTTAGGTATTTTACAATCAGGACTGATATATTAATCTACTTTAAGTTCTTTTTATTTAATTGCATTTGATGTGTAAAAGGTATAAAACAAAATGTGAAAAATTAATGTGTTTTCCTCCATACCCCCATTTTTAAACATTTTATTTCTACATAATGTTTTGTTTAAGCCCTTCTTGTCCTTTAAAAAAAAAAAAATATGCGTAGTTAATCCGAGAGGCACTTCAGTGGGTTAACAAACGTTATTCAAAATAAATAAATGTATTCATCCTGATTTACAGAACCTATCTAGGATTTCAATTTATTTTTGGTAGTTACTGGTCACAGAATACATTTTCAATGTGAGTCGATCTTTAGAAGTTGGTATGTTTGTATTGTAAGTTTATTAGCCATCACAGAAAACAAACTTGCCACACAAAATTATATATTTATGTAAAGTAGACATGACAGGCTATTTAATTAAGGGTACTTTGTTTTTTTTGTTTGTTTTATTCTTTTTGCAAATTTTACATATGTAACATACAGACAGGAACAGTTCAAAGTTAAACATATAGACTAGATTTACAATAGAAAAATATATGGAATGTTGAGTAAACTTCACACACAAAAACACAAATATCACAATTTAAAAAGCTGAGCGGATTTGTAACAAGTTTTAATCATTCCTGACTAAAATGTCTCTTTTTTTTTTAATGTATTTTATAAACCTGATGTGTGCTAGGCCTACACAATCATATTGTGTTTAGGTACATCTTCGGAGGAAAAACCAATCCCCCAATGTATGCTTTGACCACTATCCTGTAATGCTACAGTGCCATTTAAGAGAAACCGTGCTATTTTTTTAAAGTTAGGATTGTGATGGGGCTTTATTGGGGGGCATTATAGCAGTTTGACTGTTTAAATTAGTCCAATCCATTTGTGAAAGTATACACTCCAGGGTATCTCATATGGTGAATATTGTCCCTTAATGTGCGAGCATGTTTAGTAGTTTAGGTCAAAGTTTGTGGTAAAAACGATTTGTTATGCATGTTTTTTTAATTTATTTATTTTACATACACACATTTCATCTTTGCTGGGCATTTTGTAAATCTCACGTGTGTCTACGATTAAACCCTTAATTTACGAGAGGGAAGTTGTCTGGAGTAAAACTATCTCCAACGTATGCCTTTGTCCCTATCCTGCAAAGGTAAAGCGAAGGTACAGTAACATAAGAGTCTACATCTCTGACTATTTTGGTTTTTGCAGATTTCCAAATTTGCAGGATTTTAAATTATGGATTTCATGGGCCTATGTCTTAATTTGGGGTAATGTATAAGTTTAACAGTTCAAATGATCTCATAATTGCATGCAGTTACGAGTAAACACCACCGAGTATGCATATTGCAATCAGTAATTTGTTCACAGCTATGAGTACAGAATGACCCCCCTTAGCATACCCATGTCAAGTTTTTGTAAAAATACAGGGCTTAATTAATAACCTGACCAGTGCAGTTTTTGATGGTGCTTTTTTTAAGTGACAAACTCAATTACTCCATAAATGCATATCAATATGGAAACTATGGGCACTCTCACATGATATGGTAAGTTTTATTGAAATGCTATATTTTCAAAGTTTGTGGTATTAATGTATATTTTACAATTCTTACATATGCATTATAACTTTTTTTTTAAATGTATGCCACTGTAAAACAATTCACTGAACTGTACTTAGAAACATCTTCTGAGTACAACATTACCCCCTATGCACATCTTTGCCAAGTATCAATTTGCACCTAACTCAAATCCTAACACAACTAATAAAGTTAGAAGGGTTCCCTCTGCCAATCTCAGCAAATTAATCCCCTAAAACAGGGTTAGTTATCCATAGTGTGTCTGATTATTTAAAAAACAACATAACCTGGATTCTAGTGGGCTTAGATTTTTATGCATACAGAAAATGGGGAAACATTGGAGAGGTGGATATTTATATTGAACACTAAGCACTGGGGGGACTAAATGTTGATTTTTAAAAATTAATACGCATGTATCCTTTTATAAATATTTTACAATTTTATTATTTATGAATTAGATTCTTTATAAAATACATTTTTTTTTTATGAGGCTTTATCGTTATTTTTCTTCAGTGTTCATCCCTTTAATTCATCACATAAAGAAAAGCCATTTAAGTTTTTAAAGTTAAGTGGGGGAAGACACTATTAGCGCCAATTTGTTCACTTTGTTTGAGGTTTATATATACATGCATGCAACTAGTATAGTTATAATTAAGGGAAAATAAAATATAAAAATTAATCCAACAAGCCCGTCTGAGTTTTATATGTATAAAACATGGTTTACTTCATTAACAAGGGGAAAAAAGTCACAAATGGGTTAAGAAGATGGATACTTTTGAGTCCAAAAACAGGATTTAGAAATAAAACCAGTTTAAACATACCTGAGCAAACATGGAATCAAAATCTTTGTGTATCAATTCTTTGTGCGGTCTTTCTGCATGATCAGTGTCAGAATCATAGCTGTAGTCTGAACTGTTATCACTGACGGGAAAATTATGCTGTAAAAAAAAAAAAAAAAAAATTTTTTTATAATTATATACCACTTGGAAAATAAAAACTGATTTACCCCAGTAGTAAAAACCCACAAACGTGATTTTTATGCGCTAGTAAGGGTGCACAAAATGCCTGTACATACTTGGTGTTCCATTCCTGGCATCATGTGTTTGCAATTAGAAGTGCCAATACAACGACATGTCAGTGCAAATCAATATATAAACCAACCAAGAGAACACACTGAAACAGAAGCCACAACAAATAAAGATAATGGGAGAAAACAACGAGTGAGAAACATGTAATTCTAGGATAGAGAACGGGAACATTTCAGTGATACATGACGCAAAGGTCTCCAGTAATTTAACAAGTAACTCAATCGATTTCAACAAGGGATCAAATTATGTACATATAACATAATACGGCATTAGGATATTGATCAGTTTTTTGATTGGAAAATTGGCTCAGAAAGCCAATCTTAAGATTTAACTCAAGTAGAAAAATATGGATAAAACCTTGAGAAAGTCTCTTTACAAAATGGAAGTGTTGGCATGTGGCTCTCTTAGAGTGTCTTTTAAAGTGTGTGTGAGACTTTCTAGCAGGTGGTCATGTAGAACAGGGTCATAAAGAATTTTAATGGGAAGGACAAAGACTTGGTCCCGGTCTTCAAAAAGGGGTTCCCGGACGTCTGGGGAAAGGACTGCCCTTAAGATCTGGAAATCCTTAGGAGCTAGTTTTTTTGTTTTAAAACTAAGGTTTATTTTCAATAACAAAACAAAAATTCTTAAAGGGACACTATACTCATTAAAACCAGAACAGCTTAATGTAGTGGCTCTGGTGTATAAATTCTGTCCTCGTAGTAATTTTTATGTAAACACTGCCTTTTTAGAGAAAGGGTAGTGTTTACATTACTGCCTACTAACACCTCTAGTGTCACTCAGATGGATACTTGAGGGGATACCTAGACCAGTGCTGCACAGCATGGAGAAAAAAAGGAGAGTATAAAAACAAACAACAAAAAAAAAACCACAACTTTCCCATGTGATCACAGGGGGTTGGTAACTTAAACAGACACACATTTTCGCAAACACTCACAAAATTGTTATTCTTTATTTTAAAATAAGTCCACCCAGCCTCCCTATATTTTGGAGAGCTAGAATGGATCCTTTCCCTAGGGTCCAGTGTGACTGCTGTAATCTTCCTGCAGCTCTTGCTCTGCTCTCTCGTAAGTAGTTAAGTGACACAGGGGATGGAGTGATGTCATATTCCAGATCCCGGCATCACTAAACCGCATGCGAGGGACCAGAGCAATATCTGCTCCTCACTGCCTTCTTGCTCCCTCGGCCATTTGGATCTGCTGAATTGGGCTGACAAACACCCAGGCACAAGGACAAAATTCGGATTTGCGAAGCCCTGAGATAACATAATCAAGTCCCCAGACAGTATCAGTGTGAATATATATATATATATATATATATATATATATACACACATATACATATATACACACACACACACACACACAGTTGCAAGAAAAAGTATGTGAACACTTGGGAATGATATGGATTTCTGCACAAATTGGTCATAAAATGTGATCTGATCATCATCATCTAAGTCACAACAATAGACAATTATAGGCTGCTTAAACTAATAACACACAAAGAATGAAATGTTGCCATGTTTTTATTTAACACACCATGTAAACATTCACAGTGCAGGTGGAAAAACCCATGGATTTAATAACTGGCTGAACCTCCTTTGGCAGCAATAACTTCAACCAAACGTTTCCTGTAGTTGCAGATCAGACGTGCACAACGGTCAGGAGTAATGCTTGGGATGTCTTGGGTGTGAATTGCTTTCTTGAGCTCATGCCACAGCATCTCAATCGGATTGAGGTCAGGACTCTGACTGGGCCACTTCAGAAGGCGTATTTTCTTCTGTTTAAGCCATTCTGTTTTACTTCTATGCTTTGGGTCATTGTCCTGTTGCAACACCCATCTACTGTTGAGCTTCAGCTGGTAGACAGATGGCCTTAAGTTCTCCAGAAAAATGTCTTGATAAACCTGGGAATTAATTTTTCCTTCACTGATAGCAATCCGTCCAGGCCCTGACGCAGCAAAGCAGCCCCAAACCATGATGCCCCCACCACCATACTTCCCAGCTGGGATGAGGTTTTGATGTTGGTGTGATGTGCCTTTTTTTCCACCACACATAGTGTTGTGTGTTTCTTCCAAACAACTCAACTTTGGTTTCATCTGTCCACAGAATATTTTGCCAGTACTGCTGTGGAACATCCAGGTGCTCTTGTGCAAACTGTAAACGTGCAGCAATGTTTTGTATGGACAGCAGTGGCTTCCTCTGTGGTATCCTCCATGAAATCCATTCTTGTTTAGTGTTTTACGTATTGTAGATTCGCTAACAGGGATGTTAGCATTTGCCAGTGACTTTTGTAAGTCTTTAGCTGACACTCTAGGATTCTTCTTCACCTCATTGAGCAGTCTGCGCTGTGCTCTTGCAGTCATCTTTATAGGACGGCCACTCCTAGGGAGAGTAGCAGCAGTGCTGAACTTTCTCCATTTATAGACAATTTGTCTTACCGTGGACTGATGAACAGCAAGTCTTTTGGAGATACTTTTATAACCCTTTCCAGCTTTATGCAAGTCAACAATTCTTAATCGTAGGTCTTCTGAGAGCTCTTTTGTGCGAGGCATCATTCACATCAGGCAATGCTTCTTGTGAAAAGCAAATCCAGAACTGGTGTGTGTTTTTTATAGGGCAGGGCAGCTGTAACCAACACCTCCAATCTCATCTCATTGATTGGACTCCAGTTGGCTGACATCTCACTCCAATTAGCTCTTGGAGATGTCATTAGTCTAGGGGTTCACATACGTTTTCCACCTGCACTGTGAATGTTTACATGGTGTGTTCAATAAAAACATGGCAACATTTCATTCTTTGAGTGTTATTAGTTAAATCAGACTGATCGTCTATTGTTGTGACTTAGATGATGATCAGATCACATTTTATGATCAATTTGTGCAGAAATCCATATCATTCCAAAGGGTTCACATACTTTTTCTTGCAACTATATATATTTTTATTAAAAAAACAAAACTAAAAAAGAAATAAAAACAAGAAAATGGAAAGCACAATAAGTACCACCCAAAGACTGTGTAATACTTTTGTGCAGTTAAGGAATAACACACGAGTCCCCAGACAGAGTGGCGCCGGGAGAGACAATTGTACTGTCCATTTCATTGTATGGCGAAACCCCTACACGGAGAGTCACCAATGCGGTGTATACACAGCTGTGTTCTGCACAAAAAAGGTGATTCTATCCATTACATTTAGACTCGTCTAATGTGTGCGGGAAAAATTATAGTCTCTGCTTTACAGGCGCTATATTCACTGCAGCCTATTACTGTAGAGGAGGACCTTAGAGACCATAGTCAAGCTTTGGCGACTGTCACTCCAAAGTCCCCAGTAATAGCAAGGAAGATGACCAGGAGGAGGTACTCAGTCACAGTACAGGAGCTTCATCACAATTCCAAACTAATTTTTAGGCAGGTGACAAAACCAGAAACATTAGTGTGCACAGTGAAGGTTTTGGAGATAAGTGAAATCAAGCTAATTTCGTTTATTACTTGAAGACTGTATAAAAAATGTTTCCTTTATCACTTGCCTCGGACATCATCCTCCTAACATTTTGAGTGATCCTGGGTAAGAATCAACTGTTATTTGATACATCTAAACTCTCCTGACTGGCTGCTGTGTACTCACAGAGCAATGCACATCTAACCACCTTTCACAAAAGGCTTCTTTTCTTTTGTGAACTGAGCGCATGAGAATCGTCTTGGTTCGAATAATGCTGGATTCCAACCAACTCAGTATGGCAGTGTAGGCAAGGGGGCAAGTGTCAGAGGCAAACCATAAACAAAAATTCATTTATATGGTTATAGGGAGTTCCTCAAACTGGAAGATAAACAAAAAAATACACAAAACCACCCACAATGCTGAATCATGTAATAGGGGAATACCACATCTTTATTGTGTTTACATAAAAAAAAAAAAAAAAAGGGTATTTTTCTCTGCTGTAAACAAACTATCTTATCTTCAAGATTATGGACAAACTTTTCGATCCTTTCTTCGTAACTACAATTTTTCACTCCCTTTGTTCATTTTGCAGTTGGTATCTAAACTTTTGCAGTAACGCATAAAAGAAAAAATATAACGTCGACAACCGCAATGTGTATCAATGTACAATCAGGTATCAAAGTTACAACACAGTCAGTGCCCAGTTCCCCAGGTTGACAAGAGAAAGAACTAGAAATATACATGCCCTCAGGTGCATAGCAGTGTGTAAGTTGCATTCATGTTGGATATCCCCAATGGTTCATATTTCCATTTACTACCAGTGAATTTAGTATAGGTTTGCTTCCATGTTGTGAACCAGTGCTTGGTAAGTATGCCCGTGGTTCTATGTATCGTTGCTTTTTTAAAATGTATGAAGTATTCAATGACTAGCACCATTGATAAGGATTTTGGAGCTGCAAACTTCCACTGCCTTGCAATGCGTAGTCTACCACAGTTTAAAACATGCAGAGCAATAGCCCTGGCTGGGCCCATGAGATTGGTCGGGAACATTCCTAGTAGAAATATATGTCAGATGTTATAGGGAGATCTATACTTATGGGCGTCTGAATAAGAGAATGTCTCCAGAACTCCGCAAGAACCGGACAATACCAGAAGACATGTGAGAAAGATCACAATTCCCATGAGCATCACCAGCACTGCGCAGAAGTGTGGGGAAACATATGTGCCAATCTCTGTGGCACTAGAGACCATCTCATAAGGAGTTTATATAATGCTTCCCAGTGGTTTCTAGATACTCTTCTAATTAGAGAGATATCTTGTTCCATTGAGTGAGTTCCACCCTTGCCGTTTTAAACAGCAACCCTTTCTTACACTGTGTCTGGGGAACTAAATCCCCATATTTATTCTCTTAGATAGGCGTTTTATAGTAGCCTTCTTAGTTATGTATTTTTAGAAGTCTGAGTGCTAATTATGTGTGCTTCAAGCATTTCAGAAGGGATTTCATCTGTTAATATATGGTTGAATAATTTAGTTAGGTGTGGGGTCAGAAGCAGTGCATACTTCATGTTATATTGTGAAGGGAAGCAGTGGGGCCTGGAGCTTAGTGGCATGGCATGGAGAATATGGCTTTATAATCCTACTCCTAAGTGAATGACACATCCAGTGCCACCTTTTGGTCCTTGGAGAGGGGAGGCTAATAGCATCTAGGAACTTGTGTCTTTGAGTGGTTGGAACCCAGCCTCTGAAGCTAAGTTGTATAGGGAGACATAAAATGTTAGTCTACTGTATTTGCCAATCTAGTGCCGTCTGAAGAGAATAAATATGCCATTTTGGAAGTTTTTGAGGTGTCTTCAATACGGCCACAGGCATATACCCTGCTCAGTTACCCTGAGCTTTGTAGCCTTGCCTCACACACTTCATTATTCATTCAGCTTGTGATCTCGAGCTGTCGACAGACCAAAAGACTGCAAGTGCACAGCTGAAGATCTAGGCAAAGTTTAGTTTTGCAAGCTTCTGTAGGAGCGAAGACTGAGTCTGATCCGTTCCTCATTTGTTGTGAGTTGCCAATTTAGTCAGGGCACCCTTAATAACAGTTTTGTGAGCCAAACACTCTGGAGGGAGGTGGGCCCATGGATATTATGACGGTAGTCACCATCACTGGGGGCTGAAGAGGGACACTTTATCTAGGTCTTGAGTTTTAGTCACCCTGTGCCCATTATAGGTACAGGGTGTTGTCCCATTTTTCCCCAGAGACATTGCAAGGAGTGTTCTGTCACGCCCTTAAAATCTCCCATGTTGTCCTCAACCCTTGTTATTGATTTAAAATATATATTTTCAACTCTTATGAATATAACGAGGTGTTGCTAGTTGGAGACCTCAGAAGGGGAGTGTAGGTTGTCAACTCCAGTGTTCCCTGGACAAGTTGCGGCAAGAAAACTGTGACGGTAGTCACCATCAACTGAGATTTCATACTGACATTTTATGTAGGGCCCTGAACTATTCCTATGTTTAAGTCACCCTGTGTACATTGTGGTTAAATGTCAGTATGCTCTCCTGTCTTGCTAATCCTTGCAATTAACTAGGTGGATTAGGCTATGGAACCTGTACAGCACCATCTGTTGGTTGCAAGGATCTAGCAACAGCAATTTGCACTAACTGAATAGCAAGGCTTGCTAAATTGCATGTTCGGGTAGATTTGCATATTGCTAATTCTGGTCTTTCCCACCCTTTTATAAATATGTCATTGTGTTATAATAAGTTACATTATGTTTTCTACTATGATTTGACAGTTTGTATTTTTTTTTTGTGTAGTCACGCAATCTTTATGTAATAATCATATGGGCTAATCTCAAGTCAAAATAAAGCTTTGTATGTTAGCTCCTATTAGAACTTTTGTCCTATGTGGATTTTTGGGGATCCCAGTGATAGAGCCTTCGGACCTTTTTGCTGACTGAAGGATCCTTCTAGCCCAGGGATAAGTCAAGACACTAGGCTTGAGAGCCGCAAGTGCCTTTGTAAAGGCTATAGCAAGCACTATAAGCAGAGCTCCAGACGATCCCTGCCTGGAAGAAGAGCTGCAGCCTGATCGGGTAGAAGAGCTCCAGAGAGACCCCAGTCAAGCTTCAGCGACTTCAAGTGGCTAAGAAGCAGACTGGGCCAAGGTGCTCAGTCAGAGTACAGGAGCTCTGTCACAAAAACTTAGCCTTTCCAACAGCAAGTTCACTTCAGTGATCTCTTCCGCCTCCATTAAGGGACAGTCGGTTGAACTTTCTGCCAATCTGCTTGGGAACATAGTTGGGGCTGACAGATTCCAGTACCGTAGGACCCTTTCACCATCTTCTGGGGTGTTCGCCTTTAGGACTTCATTCCACACCAATATCTTAGGGATAGGGAAGCCCCATTGATAGGCTACTTTATGATGCCTTAGGATTTTCATGACAGAAAATTCATGTCTCCTTGCTATCGTGGCCAAGGATAGGTCTGTAATAAATTGCATAAATTACACGTTTTCAGCACACACTGCACACTCTCAACAGGCTTTAAAATCTTTCCCGTGCAGGCAGAGACTGTAAGAAGAAGCTAGCTCTCCCCATGGCAGACGCCACCTATAGGCGAAGAAGGCGCCGGCCTAGGGTGCACATTTGGAAGGGGCGCCGAGGCCCGCTGCACGTGGTGTTGGTAATTCTTTTTCCCCCAGTGCTGTATGGGTCTGGAAAAGTCACTTGCTTTCGGGCTGTAGCCATAGCTGCCTCTTTGACCTGAGAGCAGTGGAATTGCAGGAGATTTTTTTGGTCTATGGCTAGTTGTTCCTCAGCTATTAAAGGCAATTTGGCTCCTGCAAGAAATCAAGTAGCTCTTCAGGGTACCCGAATCTGGAACATTGTTTCGTCATCAGCAGTCATCCAGGTATGCCAATCTGATCATCAGAACTGTTTTAGTGGCCTCCATTGTCTGCAGATTCTCCATCAGTCTGTTGTGGGCAATACACAACTCATCAGTTTTCCCTTCAAGTGTGTCAGTTCGGACCCCAAGTGCACCGATGTCTTTATGTAGCTTCGCCGCTATCCTTTTAAAGTCTTTTTGTAAGGTATTGCAGAGGTAGTGAAGAAGTAGAGAGTCAGCATTTTTCACGCCATGATGGGGGAATCTTCCGAACAGGATGGTAGAGTCTCTGAATCTGACGCTCAATCAGATGTCAGAGACAAAGCAGCCGAGTAGGCCCTATCTTGCTCTCTTCTGGGACTCTGTTTTCTCTGTCAAGGATCTAAGGGCTTCTCCCGGTCTTGAGAGCAACATATGCGACATTCCGGTGATTAGTCTGTCCGTTATTGTGTCAGTATTCACCGTGATGGATGCTCAATTGTATGATATAGGCAGTGGTTCCCAAACCAGTCCTCATGGCCCACCAACAGTCCACGATTTATGTATTTCCCCGTTTTAATACAATGGAGATACTAAAAAAACCTGGACTGTTGGTGGGTCTTGAGGACTGGTTTGGGAATTGCTGCTATAGGGCTACCACGACCAGAGCCACAAAATCATGCGCCCGCTCGCTCAGTCAGCCATACCCCCTAGTCTCTGAACTTTTAGAAGTTCTGTAATATCCTTCAAAACTAAAAATATATTACTGCAAATTTAGTTTGACAAAAGAAGATTTTTACCATTGACTTAAACCACAAAAATGAATACTTTTTTTTTTTAAATACAGAATATCTTACTGGTATTCTGTTTACATTTATTCTCAACTCCTTGCCATTTAACTATATCCCTAACAAAATATCATCATATCATATCTTGCAATTTGAACCCCATCCCGAAATGCACATATTATTACAAACTTTGGATCTAATTTTCCACTTGCCTGCCTAGTTCACCAATTTATCAAATTATCTTCTGCATTATCCTGCTCTGAGTGCATTAGCTTAACCTAGTTTTGTGTTATTAAAGCAAATACGGATATAAACTATTTGCATTGTAAGGCTATTCATTTACAAATTACAACGAGGATGACCAAGTGTCCTCCAATGACAACTTCTGTTCATCTTGAAATTTTACTAGCAACTTTTTTCTGCCCACCATCTTTAAGCCATTTATCAATAAAAGAACAAGCATTTTCCTCAAAACCAGTGACTTTCAATTTAGAAAAACATAAATGAATGGAAGATCTCATTTACTGCTCATTTTACTTCTAAAGGATCTCAAAATGGGATGCACGGAAATTCATTTTACATGATCATCTAGTCTTTTAATTCATTAAGAGACATGAATGAAAATACCAAATATACCAGAGACTTATTTAGTTTGTAGAATAGCCACACTCCGTAATAACTCCAGCACAACTAGTAATACATGAAAACTGCAAGTGTACTGTCAGATGGGCAACCTGTAAAGAATTTTTTTATCTAGTTTATCTAGTGTTTGTTGTTTATGACAGCAAGGAAGAAAACCCAAATGTGCATTTGCAAGAGTTAGGTAGCCTTGTGAACACAACTACCCAGGCACGCATTTAACGTTTTAACCAATGTAATAAAAAAAAAAAATTCAGGCTTTACAAAAAAATAAAATAAAATAATAATCTTAAAATGAAGTGGTCTGGGTGACTTTAGTGTCCATTTAATCCTATTAGGCCAGCAGAGCCATGCAGTTGGAGATGTAATTTTGAATCCTTACATAAACATAAAGCGCCGCTTACAGTACAGGGCATATTTTAGTCATTAAAGGGTTACTCTGACCACTTCAGTGATTTGAAGTGGTCATGGTGGTAAGAGTCAGTATGTGCAGTGTTTCTACCTGAAATACTGCACATACAAAAATATTAGTAATTGTGTGCTGGGGCAAGTTGCACCCCCAGCACACATAACATTGCCAGCCCAGAGGGCTGTTCCAGACTGGCAATTCTGTGCATAAATTACACGTTTTCAGCACACACTGCACACTCTCAACAGGCTTTAAAATCTTTCCCGTGCAGGCAGAGACTGTAAGAAGAAGCTAGCTCTCCCCATGGCAGACGCCACCTATAGGCGAAGAAGGCGCCGGCCTAGGGTGCACATTTGGAAGGGGCGCCGAGGCCCGCTGCACGTGGTGTTGGTAATTCTTTTTCCCCCAGTGCTGGCAAGCCGCACAAAAAAAATAAATAAATAAAATTTTAAAAAATTAAAAAGAGGGGAGCGCAAGCGCTGCACTGAAAAGAGCATTTAAAGGACCACTATAGTGCCAGGAAAACATACTCGTTTTCCTGGCACTATAGTGCCCTGAGGGTGCCCCCACCCTCAGGGTCCCCCTCCCGCCTGGCTCTGGGGAGAGGAAAGGGGTAAAAACTTACCTTTTTCCAGCGCTGGGCGGGGAGCTCTCCTCCTCCGATCCTCCCATTCGGCTGAAGCATTTACAATGCTTTCCTATGGACGCTTGCGTGCTTTCACTGATTTTCACAGTGAGAATCACGCAAGCGCCTCTAGCGGCTGTCAATGAGACAGCCGCTAGAGGAATTGGAGGAAGGATTAACCCATTTGTAAACATAGCAGTTTCTCTGAAACCGCTATGTTTATAAAAAAAATGGGTTAATCCTAGCTGGACCTGGCACCCAGACCACTTCATTAAGCTGAAGTGGTCTGGGTGCCTAGAGTGGTCCTTTAAGTGAGCACCATAAATCTAATTGCAGCTCCCTGTTTGTGTTCCTGGCGGCTGCATATTAAACCTTGTGGTCGCAGCGGAGTCCCTTTCTCTGTGTTCCACAGCTGCCGGCGTTAAACATGGCCCCTGTGTGTTCCCCCACGGCCTGCTGGGAGGAAGTGATAGTAGGGAGGTCACTTCCTCCCAGCCAGCTAACAGGGAGCAGCATGGGTAGGAGGCAGCAGCAGCATACAGATAGCAGAGGTGCTGAGGAAGCCTGGTGCCTGGCTCCAACTCCCATCAACGTGTGTGTATATCTGAGTTTGTGCTCCTGTGTGTCAGTCTATGTGTGGATGTGTACCTGTGTATTTGTGTGTGTGTGCATATGGCAGTGCATATATATCAGCATTCCAATAAAACTGCACACAAATACATCCCTGTCACTCTCTGCACAATGTCACCTCTCACACACTGTATTCCCTACAAAACTCCATTGACTCCCCCAATTCTGTCACACTCACCTCCACTAATCTTGTCACTTACCCTTTCTCGCACTCACCCCCAACCCTGTCACACCAACCCCCTTTCACAGGTTATTATGGCAATGCTCTGCATGGCACGCAGGCTGTTCTTGCAAAAGTTGCAGTGAGAAGCAACTGGAAAAACAAGATGGTACTGACTGGGCCCCTTCTCACCACATGCTATGTTGCACCACTTCCTCTCATCTCACCCTGACTCATAATCCGATACCTCCTTGCACTATACACACTGCCACTTCTAACTTCACTCTACCACCTTGCACTATATATACTGCCACTTTACACACACACTACACAAACACTCTGCATCAATTACACAGACACTGCATCCATTACACAAACATTGAACAGCTAAGGAAAAAATTCTCCCCTCCTTGCCTTTCTGTTTCTCAATCACACATTGATCATGCCTTTCCTACCCTTCAGACATTCTCCCCAGCCACTGACCAAGAGGTGGCTGCTCTTCTTTGCTCCTCTCGCCCCACCACTTGCCCGCTCGATCCTGTCCCGTCTCACCTTATCAGATCTCTCTCCGCTTGTCTCGTGCCTTCTCTAACACACATCTTCAACTGCTCGCTCTCTTCTGGCATCGTCCCTGCTGACCTTAAACATGCCACTGTAGTACCTATACTAAAAAAACCATCCCTTGACCCGTCCACCCCCTCTAACTACCGTCCCATATCCCTGCTCCCTTTTTCCTCAAAGCTTCTGGAAAGACTCGTCTTTACCCGTGTGTCTCATTTCCTCAATTCCAACTCTCTCCTTGACCCCCTTCAATCTGGCTTCCGCCCTCTCCACTCTACAGAGACTGCCCTTATCAAAGTTACTAACGACCTAATCGCAGCAAAATCCAAAGGCCACTACTCCATACTAATTCTTCTTGACCTCTCGGCGGCCTTTGACACCGTTGATCATGCTCTCCTTCAAACTCTGCAATCGCTTGGTCTCTGTGACTCTGTCCTCTCGTAGTTTTCCTCTTATCTCTCCCAACGCTCATTCAGTGTCTCTTTTTCTAATGATACCTCCTCACCTCGCCCTGCCTCGGTTGGAGTCCCCCAAGGCTCCGTCCTTGGTCCCCTTCTATTTTCTCTTTATACTGCCTCTCTTGGCAAACTTATTACCTCATTTGGTTTCCACTACCACCTGTACGCTGATGACACCCAGCTATATCTCTCCACCCCGGACCTCTCCCCTGCTGTCCTGCAACGTGTCACTGCTTGCCTTTCTTCCATCTCTGACTGGATGTCCTCCCGCTTTCTGAAACTCAATCTCTCAAAAACTGAGCTCCTTGTCTTTCCTCCTCCTAATACTGATCCTCCTCTTTCGCTCTCCCTTCAAGTTTGTGGTACTAACATCAGCCCATCCTTGCAAGCGCGCTGTCTTGGCGTCATACTTGACTCTGGTCTCACCTTTGAGCCTCACATCCAGCATGTTGCCAAATCCTGTAGATTCCATCTTAAAAACATAGCCCGCATCCGCCCCTTTCTTGCACCAGATACTACCAAGGAGCTTGTCCATGCTCTAATAATTTCACGCATGGATTATTGTAACCCTCTCCTGCTTGGTCTTCCCAAAAGCCGTACTGCACCCCTACAGTCTGTAATGAATGCTGCTGCTAGACTGATTTTCCTCTCTAGTCGGTTCTCTCACACCTCACCCCTCTGCCAGTCCTTACATTGGCTTCCTGTGTGCTATAGGAGTCAATTCAAGGCACTAACTCACACCTATAAAGCACTGAACAACTCTAGCCCCTCTTATATCTCCTCACTGATCCACAGGTATGTCCCTTCTCGGTCTCTCCGCTCTGCCCGTGACCACCTCCTGTCCGTTGTCCGCACCCGTACGGCCAACTCGCGCTTGCAGGACTTCTCGCGGGCGGCTCCCTTCCTATGGAATAGCCTGCCTACCGCCATCCGACTCTCCCCTAGTCTTGCATCTTTTAAGAAGTGCCTTAAAACCCATCTCTTTAGGAAAGCTTATGGCCTCCAAGACTAACCCCTACCTCACATACCCGTCTCTTGCCCTCTCCTAAAGGGCAGCCCACCTTATTTGATTGCACATTCCTGTCCTAATGTGTCTTACACCCCACCTCCTATAGAATGTAAGCTCGATTGAGCAGGGTCCTCTTCAACCTATTGTTCCTGTAAGTTTATTTGTAATTGTCCTATTTATAGTTAAATCCCCTTTCATAATATTGTAAAGCGCTACGGAATCTGTTGGCGCTATATAAATGGCAATAATAATAATAATAATACAATCTGCATTCACCATATAAACACACACTGCATCCACTATACACTTACATCTCATCCACTATGCGCATGCTCCTGCATCCGACTACACACACTGCAGGAGGGGGCAGAGTCAAGTGCAGAGCCAATGGGGGCGGTAAAATGAGGCTTTGCCTAGGGTGGCAAAAATCCTTGCAGTAGCCCTGGCTCTCCCTTCACACACCTTCACTCTGTGCTCCATCCCGCATCCCTCCGTGCACACTGGTGTTTTTATTTAAAAAAAAAAAAAAGAAAAACACCCCTTCTCTATGAGAAGACTGATTGGACTGTGTGCAGATCCACTGACACTAGAATGGGGCATAAAAAAGCAACGCCGGGAGCTTCACCCTGCGCTGTATATTAGGTAAGTAAAACCTTTTATTTTTTATGTATTACAGTAAATTGTGAGGGGCACGTTCTCTACAATAGGGAGAAATTAAATCAGTGCCCTCTTTTAAAAGGTTTATAATAACCCTTTAACCTCCTCTCAGTCACAAAAAATAAATGAACGAATTAAAAGCATCCTTAGAACCAAATATATTGTTAAATAAAGCCTATTTTTAAAAGTACAAGATACTGATGTTCCCTTTAGTGTCAGATTACAAGCTACTCTCCAAGAAAGATGTTACAGTCTTGAGTTAAATAAATAAAATAAAAATTCACCTTGTGTTTTTCACGTCTGCGACGTTTTTCTTTCTTTTTTTCCTTCTCTCTCTCTTTCTTCCTCCTCTTTTTAGATTTTTTGTGAACTTTTTCAGTGACTGGCTTTTCAGACTCAATTGCTTTTGGTTCTTTTTCTTCTTCAAAGCCTCCATCATCTATTTCACCATCTTCCAGTTCCCCATCCTCTCTGTGAAAACACGTTACAGAATATTAAAATTAAGCCCTTAACTTCTTTATGACGTTAAGCCAGGCAGAACAGAGAATTTAATTTGCATGCCCGATATTTGACTCTTCAACTTTTTAAAACCTCCAAAAACCTGTACATGAGGGAACTGATGCACTTGTGAGACATCACTGAACACAAATGTTAGTATTTCTAGAGCAGTAAACTGTATAATGACGATATCATTCCTCAGTGAAAGTTCAGTTTTTGTGCCAAAAATGCAAAAAACAAATTTGAACTCTAACTTTGGCCAGGGTTTGTGTCTAAGTGGCTACTAAAAAAAAGTCTAGATCTACTCCATATTACCTGGGGTAATCTCATTCTTGGGCTGTCATACAGTCTCAAAGGCAACATAGGCAGAGAGAATAAATCTGGCAGATTTCAATTTGTAAAAACAAAAATGGGCAAACCCTATTTTTGACCGTGTAATTTTCCAAAACACCATGAAACCTGTATATGGGGGCATTGTTGAAACATCACAGCATACAAAATATATATTGCAGTAAAAGCGATTATTATGCTGACACTCTAAGGCACTCAGTAGCTCCCCATTGACGTGTTTTGTTTTTATTAATAGGGAGATGCTGATTGGCTTAGAGTGTCAGCTGACCGCTCAAGACAATCAGCGGCACTCCTCGCTACCTGTAACACAGATTCAAAAGCTGGATGCCGCATGAGGGACCTGGAAGCAACAACTGTGATTAAACCATTTGAGAACAGTTTAATCCCTCAAGGTAAGAGTGTACAAGTGGGCTTCCAGGAACCATAACAACTTCATTTAGATGAAGTTGTTAAATTATGTTTCATGTATAAATATGTGACATGAAATGACAGCCCTATTTCTCCAGAACAAGATGATATAAAATAAGTGTGGGTGCAATTAATATGAAAGAGGTAACTTATGATTGAACAGCTATCCAAATCAAACTCTAGGTTTTGTTTTGGTTCAGAACATGGACAATTTCCTCCATCCTTAAAGGACCACTATAGTGCCAGGAAAACAAACATACTAGTTTTCCTGGCACTATAGTGCCCTGAGGGTGCCCCAACCCTCAGGGTCCCACTCCAGTGGCACTGAAGGAGGAGGAAGGGGTTAATCCCTTACCTTTTTTCCAGCGCCGGGACTCTCCTCCCTCTTCTGACGTCCCTGGCTGAATGCACATGCACGGCAAGAGCCGGGTGCGCATTTAGCCAGTCCGTAGGAAAGCATTCTCAATGCTTTCCTATGGACGCCGGCATCTGCTCACTATAAAAATCACAGTGAGAAGCGCGGAAGTGCCTCTAGTAGCTGTCAATGAGACAGCCACTAGAGGCTGGATTAACCCATAGGTAAACATAGCAGTTTCTACAGCAAAAAGGATTAAACGTAGCTGGACCTGGCACCCAGACCACTTCATTAAGCTGAAGTGGTCTGGGTGCATATAGTGGTGCTTTAAGGGGTTAAGAACGAACCTTATTACAATGAATTTGTTCCCAAAAGAATGAGCTTTTTGTTGACAATTTCCCACTTTTTAAATTCAATCCCCATCAAAGCGTACAAGTAGACAACCAAGTATATTTCCTGCAATGAGGAGAACAAGGCACCATTTTTAAAAATATGTAAAAATCCACAATTGTTACCTCATGTCAATACAGCAAGATTAAAAGGATTTAGGAACAAGACTTCAAAATTCTTTGGATTGTATCTCAAAGTCAGTTGTCACCAGTGTTCATTATGGCAGCAATTTTCAATTTATCTTTATTCATAATCTTCATTAAAAAGCTGTTCATTTTTTTAGTCGACTAAACTTGTTAGTCGACAAAATTAACACACTGCATCCCCACAACAGTCTCCAAACTCGCCCCTCAAATTTCTTAGCCCACCTCTGCACAGTAAGAATTTGGCACTTGCACACCTAACTCCCAGCAGTTCTTTCATCATCTGCAAATGGCAAGGCTGACCATGAACAATGCAATAGCAGAGAATGCTTATGGGATCTCCTGCCTCCTTGTTCTCGGTGCTGAAATGGATATGATAATATGCAAGACTGAGAAGAACCCTTACACGCTGTCTGTTATTATAGTGTGCAGGGACAGCTTGGTACACCATTAAATCCCGGACTGAATGATATATATCAATCTCCTCTCTCTCTCTCCACACTTCCAACAGGGGTAAGCAGTAGAGTAATTTGACAATGTATAACTTACTATCCCAACATTAGCTAGGAATTCCACAGTCAGGGCCATATTGCAGGTCGATCCCAAGAACCATTGAATATTTATTGCAAATCTATCAAAATGTTTGAAACCGTTGTCTGTTTAAAAAGACCACTATAGGCAGCCAGACCACTTCAGCTCAATGAAGTGGTCTGGGTGCCAGGTACCCCTAGTTTTAACCCTGCAGCTGAAAACAAAGCACTTTCAGAGAAACTGCTATGTTTACACTGCAGGGTTAATCCAGCCTCTAGTGGCGGTCTCACTGACAGCCACTAGAGGCCGCTTCCGCGATTTACATGAAGTAAATCGCACCTATTTGACGCCGGACGTCCTCACGGAGTCCAGCGTCAAAAAAAGATCCCCATAGGAAAGCACTGAGTAATGCTTTCCTATGGGCGGGTTTGAACGCGCGTGCTCCTGTAGCCGCGTATGCGCATTTGGCTCCACTCAGAAGTTGAAGTTGCTGGAGGAGGAGAGGTCACCAGTGCCAAGGGAGCCCGGCACTGGATTAAGGTAAGTAAATAAATGGTTAACCATTTATTCGCCGCAGAACGGGGTCCCACGTTTGTATTCCTAACACTAGTGTTCCTTTAACCACCTAGATTGCACAAATACTATGACCCCCACGCTTTAGAGATCATAAATCACATTAAGAAAACGACTGATGACTGCTCAAAACATGCATGCAATTCATGAGTTGCTATAAAGTGATTAAGAGCGATTATCCTTATATGCTCACTACTTTAAATTTGTTCCTCATGATAAGTTTACGCGAGGTTCATAAATAAAATGTAGGTTTTTGATTGTCATTACAGTTGCAGAAAATCTAAAGAAACAGGTTTTCCCCTCAAAAATGTGTACTTATGCCAATTTTAGCTGTCAGATAAAAGGAGACCATCCTTATAACCACATTTGTAGACTCAAACTCTGCAGACAACTTGCGGTTTCACAGGTGATACATAAAATGGAAACCCAGGTTTGCAACTTGGGATAAGAATCTCATAATTTAGGGAGCTGCATGGGATGAAAGACCTAAATACTTAAGTCTACAATAGTGGCCATCCAGGTTCTATCAAAAACATAAAATGTATTCAACAGGATGCCTAGATTTGATGAAAAATTATCGTTGTGTATCAGGGCTTTCAGTTTGCCTTTTGAAGCACACAGGGCAAAGTGTAAGTTAGTGTTTGTTCCTTTAAAGGAACACACCAGGCACGTACAGCGCTTTAACTTGCTAAAGTGCTTTATGTGTTTGGAGACTGACATATTTCCAACAGTTTCAACTAAGATCAATAGAAATTGTCACTGTTAAAATTGGGGCATAAACACCTCCCTTTCTATCATTGAAACACCCTGGGATGTTTTCTTCCGCTTCTTTTAGTTCCACAGAGATGTGCTAGAGCGTGCCTGTCTTCCCCCTTATTTAAAAGTATCACTATAGGGTCAGGAACACAAACATGTATTCCTGACCTAATAGTGTTAACACCACTATCTAGCCCCCTGGGCCCCTCATGCCTCCATAAATATAGCAACATTCAAGCCTGAAGCTGTAACTCTGCATGCTGTTTACCTAAAAAAAAACAAAAAAAAAAAAACAAGCAGTCTGCTGACATCATCAGAAGTGGTAGCCTGATCCAATCACAGTGCTTCCCCATAGGATTGGCTGAGACTGACAAAGAGGCAGATCAGGGGCAGAGCCAACATGATTCAAACACAGCCCTGGCCAATCACTATCTCCTCATAAAGATGAATTGAATCACTGAATCTCTATGAGGAAAAGTTCGGTGTCTGCATGCAGAGGGAGGAGACACTGAATGTTTGGATGCATTTTAGGCAGCCAAGACCCAGGAAGGATCTCTAACAGACATCTAAGGAGTGGCCAGTGAAGTTATCACTAGGCTGTAATGTAAACACTGCATTTTCTCTGAAAATACAGTGTTTACAGCAAAAAGCCTGAAGGTAATGATTCTACTCACCAGAACAAATTCAATAAGCTGTAGTTGTTCTGGTGACTATAGTGTCCCTTTAAGGCAGCTCATTGAAAAGCATTGGAAAGCAATCACGTACGTGCTCGCGCCTCCAACACAGAGACTTCTTAATGAGAAACCTACTTTTGATGAATTCACCAGTACAAAGTGAAAGCTTGTTTCAAGGATGGCTTGTAAGTGGCAAAGGCTGCAGGACAGCTTAGCTGGAGCTTTTGCAAGTTGTTTTTTCATGTACTGACAAAGAAAATGCAGGCATGTTTGTGTGGAGTGTTCCTTTAAAAGAACACCATAACCACTACACAGTGCTATAGCTGTTATGGTGAAGGAGTATCCAGTCTAAAATGTAAGTAGTCAAACCACTTTAGACTAATATGAATCTTGGGTCCTGCAAAGAATTGGAGAACGGTGCACAGTAAACCCCATTGTCTGACAACTTAACTTACATATGGGGGAGTTATGGTGTTAGGAGTGTTCCGTTAATATATAAGAATACACGGCCTCCATTTTTTCTCCTTCAAAATAAAAACAATTAACCTTGCAGTTGTCCTACCACCAGGACTAATTCCTCACTGTAGCCCAAGCCTCCCATGGTGAATTCAACAATATTGATGACTTCTCATAAATAAGTTTTCTGGACATACATTGCTGCGATCCACCAATCTAATGCTTCTCATGGAAATGCAGTGGATGCACATCCAACATCTGGCATACGTACTCAAAATAGATTCAATTATTGAATCTTAGTCCAAGGCCCCTAGTGACTGTCTGCATGACTGTTAAAAAAAAACAAACAACTTCTAGCTATGCTTCTACTAAAGGACTTGACACACATTGCGTCCATTGACGTGCACATTGGGTCTCCTATATTTAGGTTTTGAGCATTCTCTCCAGATTAACACTGCCCAGCAGTATGTCATACTCATGAGCATGAGTTCCCAGATGTGGTGGTTTCAAATATCCCTCAAATGTAAGACAAAAAACGGACAACACGCGATTAACCAAGGGGTGCCCCTGCAGGATCAGAGTGCTCCAGCCATTTTGTCAAGTAGTGAATTGTAGGGCAACAGTGGTAAGGTGATGCTAAACCTAAATCTGGGACAGTTTGGAGGAACCAAGCAGGGGAGGAGCTCTCTCGGCTGGGTTCTACCATGGGATCTATTAGAATGCACAGGCAGAGGATAGAATGTACTGGGAGGGTGCAGCAAATATCACTGCAAGCATGCAAGACCTATCCAACAAATAATACTGCATGAGCTGGCCAAGAGGGAAAAAAAAAAAATAAATCTCCTGTTCTTTTAGAACTACAACTCCCATGATCCTCTGCCAACCTAGCAAAAGGGGTAGTAATTCTACAATTACTGCTGGGATCCTCTACCCTCTTTGCCAGCCCTGATTCACAGCATTACAATGCACGGAGCCTTTTTTTTTTTATCATCTCCAGCTCTTTTCCATCACAACACAGAACACATTTTTTTTTTTCTCTTTTTACAACAGACCTTTCTTTACCTTAGACCGGATACCATGCATTCTCCCCCCCCTGCCCCCATATCAATCCCCCCCATACAGTTAGACACAATGATAGAATACATAGATACATAATATTACTCGACCTTTCATCCCCTGCATGCTCAGAGTCTGTCATGTTTTTGTCAAGGGCTGGGTTTGGGGGTCTTGAGAACAAGCTTTCAAAAGAAGCCATGTCTGATGAATGATGAGGATAACTCCCACTTTTTTTTTCGTATTTTTCCTTGCTGCAGACTATTTATATGTATATAGAGAGAGAGAGACAGAGGGCTTGGGCAGCGCAAAAGGAAACGTGAACCCGCGACTACACGCCAACTGCGCAGGCGCCCCGGGAGCCCGCCATTACAGGCCGAGTGCGCGTGTGCACCGGAGAGCCGCCATTACGCGCGCACCGCGCATGCGCCAAACCGACAGTATGCGGGCGCTCGCTCGCGCGCGGGCACGCGTGTGTGTTTCGTGCCAGGTGCGCGCGGCCGCGAGCCGAAATTGCGCATTTGCGCGACGCGGTCTTCCTGCCTTTCCAGGTCGCCGCAGATTGCGCTTTTAGCGACACCTAGTGTTCGCCGGGGAGCGCTGCGCTCTCTGTCTGTACTGTCATAGCCAGCTTCAGGAATGGGCTGGCACAAGATGGACGCAGGGCTAATAAACACTGGCTCAAGATGGATGCAGTGCCAATAAAATACAAAAAAAACAGGAACACACAAACAAACACATTTTTTATTTACCTATTTTTTTTTTTTGCATATTATATATTATTTTTATATTATTATTTTGCTCAGCGTTGTAGAGTGGGTTAACTTGGATCCAGCACCGATTGTATACATTTAATGCTATATATTTAATGATGTATATTTAATGATATATATTAAATTTAGGCTCATGATGGAGGCAGTGTTAATAAACGGTGCGAGTACTACCCCGCTCTGGGTTGCCGTCATGAAGAAGCCAGTTTGTGAAGTTCCCGGTCACTTGCCTTGGGCTAGTAGGGGTATTAAGGCCACCCTTATCGCTCACACGTAGGGTTGTTCACTAAAGTGAGAACTGAAAGGGACTTTAAAGTGAATTTCAAAATTTGAGGTTAAAATAGACACTTTTTTTTCTGTTCTCCCCTTTTGCGCTTATATGTAAGTGATGCTATGTCCAACATACTGCAGGAGGGAAAGGGGTACCTTTGGGAATCCTTGTTTAAAGGAAAATAATATGATTACATTACCCCTAGTTTGATTTAATGACATATTTGTAATGAAAAAAGTGAGCACTGCGATGTGTGTGTGTAGAGGTTCAGTGTGTGTGAAGAGGTCAGGGTGTGTGGGGGGATAAGGGATCACATTTATATATATATATATTAAAAAAACAAAAATTTATATTCCCCCCTTCTTCTTACATTTGACCTGTGTGGGAGGAGGGGACATTTCAAGCAAGCACTGGTGGTCCAGTGGTGTCGCATGTAGTTCAGCCTGCAGCTCCTCTTGCTGAATATTCTCTCCTCCCGTGAGTATAGTGCTGTGTCGGAGCATGGTAACGCGCAGCAACGCTCCGAGCTGCCTGCTCGCGGGAGGAGAATTCTGTTTCCCAGCTCCCTTCCTCCCTCTGCAGTGGCAAACTGCCTTTGGGCCGGTAAAGGAGATCTTTGATCTTCCTCACGGGCCCAATAAGGCGGATAACAGGAGGGCAAAAACCAGAACATTCATGTGTCCTGAGAAAGTTTTGAGGGACAATTCTGCCCAAACTGGGACTATCTCGGTAAAACCGGGACATCTGGTCACCCTGCGCTTAACCCCCCCTTTTGTGTCTCACCCCCTTTAGTGTATCTTATCCCCTATTATTCCCCATTGTGTGTCTTACACTTCAATTAAATGTCTTACCTCCTTTAGTGTATCTTATTCCCTATTTTTCCCCATTGTGTGTCTTACCCTTCCCTTGTGTATATCTTACAACCCCCCTTTGTGTGTCTTACTCCCCCAGCCCCTTTGTGTGTCTCCTTCTCTCTCAGACCCTTTGTGTCTTTTACTCTTCCCAGCTTCTTTGTCTGTTTTTCTTTCACCCCCAGCCCATTTGTCTGTCTTGTTTCCCCCTTTTGCAGCCCCTCTGTGTGTATCTTAACATCTAGCCCCTCTGTGTGGCTCCCCCCATCTCCTCTGCATGTCTTCTCTCCCCCCCAGGCCCCTTTGTGTCTCTTTCACCCTCTACCCCTCTGTGTGCCCCGTACCCCCAACCCACACAGAGGCGTGTCTTTCTCCCCCAGGTCCTTCATGGTGTTTTTCTCACCCCCGGTCCACCTGTGTGACTTTCTCCCCATCATGTTCCTCTGTGTGTCTTTCTCCCCACTCAAGCCCCTCTGTGTGCTTCTTTCCCCATTCCCCACCAGGTGTTCTCTACATAGTGGTTCGGCATGCTGAATGTATTATTAGACCCAGGTCCCCCTATTCTGTGCCTGCCCATGCATACAACAGGGGGCCCAGATCCAACAATAATACATTAGAAATTTAGACATGGGGCTTTTTGGGGTACCACTGTGCTCTAGCTCGGGTCAGCCATCCATGTGGACGCCTCTAAATAAAGGATAGTTACATACACTCTTCTGTAACTCAAAATAGTGAAGGAAGGGGTAGAGGCCATTTAAAAAAATATATAGTCCATCAACTTCAACCATTAAAATGCATTTCTTTATGCTGTTGATCCAAAAAAGGACTAAAAACACAAATAGTAGTAATTTCCAATTATGCCACAAAAAAGGGAAAAAATCCTCCTTGATTTGATAATGGCAATCAAATTTCTCATTGGATCAACTACCTGTTCACATGTATGTAATTGTTAATGTTATTCTTTACCATTCTATTTTTGAAACAAACATCCAGTCCTTTTAGCAAAAATCTATAGAATCTGATGACACAATTTTTACTTAGAAATTCCACATCTTTATTATTTTACTGTTAAGAACCCTTTCCTCTGCTGTAAGTGAAAACACCTTTCTTTCAGTCTAAATGGATGACCTAAACTTGAAAATCTCAATGAGAAAAAAAAGCCCCTGTATTGTCTTATGAAATCTTTTGATTGCACAGGAATTGCAATGTAATTCTAATGCTCTTAACATGAGATTATTTCTTTATGACATGATGAAAAGGGCAGTGCCACTTTAAAAAGTCAACTGGTCGTGAAGTAGAAACTTTAAAAAGTAAGAGAAGTAAGAGAATGAAAATACTTGGCTGTAGCAACTTACCGCATCCACAAGGTGGAGATAGTGATCTGTAAACCGAAGGCTTTATTCTAGAGAAAAAAAATAATCACTTTCTCCATCATTAGAAGTAAATAAATAGTAGCAAGAATGAATGTATTATGTCTCAAAAAACCCCAAAAACCTATAAATAAAATATAACTTTAAATGGACTGGCAAGAAAAGCTCGCAATCTAATTTTGAAGTTCAAGTTTAAAATCTGGAATAGTGGCAATAAATGATCAATCAGGCTTTTGTCCAAGTCACTTAACTATGACTGCCCTCTTAAATGTTTGCAATGACATCCAAACCGGCATGGAAAAAGGAGTCCTAACTGGAGCTATTTTCCTTGATTTTGCCGTTAGACCATGAAATTCTTTTACAAAAAAAACGTAAAAACTCAGGGATTGGCGATCGTCCGCTTACCTGGTTTTGATCATATATATGAGACCAATCGCAATATGTGACCATTTCTGATAGCGCCTCCCTCCCTCTCCTGGTCACGTGTGGTGTTCCCCCATACTCTGCCCCATAATATTTACCTTATTTTTAAATGTTCTACCTAAGGTCTGCAAGCCTCAACAGTACACATGTATGCAGAGGACACCGTAATCTATGCTAGTAAACCCAATCTACCGCAACTTGAGGCTGTGATCCAAGACCAATTCACAGAGGTAGAAAAGTGGATTGCGATTAACAAACAATTCCTAAACACTGACAAAACGGTCACAATGATCTTTGGAACTGTACCTAAATTACATAAACTACAAAATCCACAACTATTTTTTAGAACAAATTCAAATAGCACACTGACAGAAGTCTGTTCTTTCAAATATCTAGGTAGTAGCTACAGTATCTCACAAAAGTGAGTACACCCCTCACATTTTTGTAAATATTTTATTATATCTTTTCATGTGACAACACCGAAGAAGAAGAAATGACACTCTGCAGCAATGTAAAGTAGTAAGTGTACAGCCTGTATAACAGTGTAAGTTTACTGTCCCCTCAAAATAACTCAACACACAGCCATTAATGTCTAAACCGTTGGCAACAAAAGTAAGTACACCCCTAAGTGGAAATGTCCAAGCACTGCCTTAACCCTCATGGGCATGGAGTTCACCAGAGCTTCACATGTTGCCACTGGAATCCTCTTCCACTCCTCCACTCCTCCATGACGACATCCATGACGACATCACGGACCTTAGAGACCTTGCACTCCCCCACTTTCCATTTGAGGATGCCCCACAGATGCTCAATAGGGTTTAGGTCTGGAGACATGCTTGGCCAGTCCATCAACTTTACATTCAGCTTCTTTAGCAAGGCAGTGGTCGTCTTGGAGGTGTGTTTGGGGTCCTTATCATGTTGGAATACTGCCCACGGCCCAGTCTCCGAAGGGGGGGGGAATCATGCTCTGCTTCAGTATGTCACAGTATATGTTGGCATTCATGGTTCCCTTATTGAACTGTAGCTCTCCAGTTCCGGCAGCATTCATGCAGACCGAGACCAAGACACTCCCACCACCATGCTTGACTGTAGGCAAGACACACTTGCCTTTGTACTCCTCACCTGGTTGCCCCCACACGCTTGACACCATCTGAACTAAATAAGTTTATCTTGGTCTCATAGGACCACAGGACATGGTTCCAATAATCCATGTCCTTAGTCTGCTTGTCTTCAGAAAACTGTTTGCGGACTTTCTTGTGCATCATCTTTAGAAGAGGCTTCCTTCCGGGACGACAGCCATGCAGACCAATTTGATGCAGTGTCCGGCGTATGGTCTGAGCACTGACAGGCTGACCCTCCCATTCTTCAACCTCTGCAGCAATGCTTGCAGCACTCATACATCTATTTCCCAAAGACAACCTCTGGATATGACGCTGAGCACGTGCACTCAACTTCTTTGGTCGACCATGGCGAGGCCTGTTCTGAGTGGAACCTGTCCCGTGAAACTGCTGTATGGTCTTGCCCACCATGCTGCAGCTCTGTTTCAGGGTCTTGCCAATCTTCTTATAGCCTAGCCCATCTTCATGTAGAGCAACAATTCTTTTTTTCAGATCCTCAGAGAGTTCTTTGCCATG